TCAAAATTCTCAACCATCATGGTTTTTCAATATTGACATCACGAGTCTTTGTACCAAAGATCGACATGTCATTCATAATGCAAGTGTCATTCTCAAATTCGTACTAAATGCACTTGTCACTTTCACTTTTAAAACCATGAGAGAGAATCTGATTATTCATGACACTAATTCTGAGTCTATTTCAAATCATATAATGATTTGTCTAACCATAGACTCCAGAAGCATGTTCTAGAATAACAACCTTTAAGATTGTCCCAATGTAGATTTCTTTATTCAAAACACCATTCAAAAAAGTATTTTAACATCCAAGTGATGGATGTTATTCTACATATTGGTGAATAGATATCAAAGAAATCTACAATTTTTCCTCTTCACCTAAAGCCTTAGCTACTAGGCAATCATTATACTCATAAACTAAACCATCAGGTTTCAGTTTTCCCTTTAGGAATCCATTTATTTCCTTGGCTTCATTGCCAGGAGGTAATTCTCAAAGATGCCAAATCTTGTTCGGTTCCATCGATATATTACCCAAAGCTCTATAACCAAGAGGCAACTCTACAAGATTCTAAGTCTTACTAGACTCCACAAATTCCATTTCGTTAATAATGGATTCTCCCACAAATATGCATCTTTATGGAAGTTCGAACTTCTAGCAGACTTGTAAGATCTTTCTTAGGGTATAAATAACAAATTCATAACCAAAATCCTTGAGTGATTTATGGTTCATTTGTCTCTTATGAGTTTATACTCATATTCATCACCCCCACTTGTTCCATTATTTCTAATAGTAGACAGGACACTACCCCCACTATTTCTTGATTTAAAAAGGAAGTTTATTGGCATCCATGGATTTCACAACAACATGAGTATTTCGTTTCAAAGGAATTATGTGTTTTTATTGTTGACAACATAAAACACACTCATATGCTCTTCTAGTTATCACTACACTGGTTTGTTAACTCTACCACAAGCATGCGATATATTGAATAATCAGTTCAATCAGTAACAATGCAATTAAGCATTTCTCAAGTTATTTCTAATTAGCATCTCCGATAACTAGAAAAAACACTTTATAGAGCAATAAATAATTTATTGTCTTTCCACCTTTTTACCCATATCAAAATAAATCAGATCTATTTATTTTGATTTTCTAACCACATATTTATGGGTCATTTAGCTTGGATAAAAAAAATTCATATTTTTCTCAAGCATCCAATAATAATATGGGAATGTGATATAAGATATTCTAATTCTTCATAGAGGCACACATGACACACAGAAGAATGCATCTCATTTGCTTACCCTTTCCTTGCGTTTAGCATAGTCAACAACTTTCTATAGGTAGGGTATCACTCCCACTTTCCAGAACCATCAACCATAGTGATGAAGGGACAACCCAACAACATTTTCTTCTTCAACATGCCTCAATGTATGATTCAACTTAGCTCGTTTATCACACACTTGCCTTGAGGCGCCATTATCCAACAATCATTCTTCAAAGTTATCATTAAGGTCAACCTCTTTCATCACCTCGGTGATTATTACAACCAAATCCTCTTCTTTAATCAAGTCAACACTAGGTTATACTTGTTCTTACACTTTCGTGTCATATGACCTAGTTTCATGCAGTTGTAGCAAAAAAACATAGTGTCATGCTTATAGGATTGAGTGGCAATCTTATGGTTACCACGAAGGGTACCATTCTATTTGGTGTGGATCTGGTTCAGCTTGCTGCTCTCATTCTTGAAACTTTAATGTTTCAAAGCAACCTAAGTGGTTCGTGTAGCACTGATAATAGTACTTCTTACAATATCGTCACTATGGGCAGTTAACACAATCTATTCTCATAGTACTTCAAACTTATACTCTGGTCATTGAGAGATACACATCTCAATGTCAACACAATCATGGATTGTTTCTAGATTTCTTTTTAGCATTCACTTTGTATGACATAGCTTCTAATTTATCATTCATTAATAACCCACGAAGAGGTTTAAGCTCTTACCTCACTTCGGAGAAGTCATTACTTTCTGGTTTCAGAAAGAATAGCTAGCACCACGTGTAGCTCCCTTGATTCTCCACTTTAATTGCCCACCATACACCACATTCGTCACACTCTTCTCCGAGTCTAGCAGCACTACTGATGCCATAGCCAAACGGCTTTATATGCCCTCTTCGTGCCCATATTACGATTTGCCAAGTAATATTCACATCAAAAGGAAGAAAATTGGTGTCAATAATATTTACGGTACGACAAGATTTCATGGTAATAATTAACATTCCAACAATGTTAATCTCAAGCAATGTTCATCATAATAATCATGTATAGCTTCCTGTTGTGGAAAACGACATTGACCTTTTTGCAGGATAGCTAGCCGATATTGCCACGTAACTCGTCGGACCTGCAAAATCAAACATTAGCTTTCACCAACAAAGAGTTTTCGCGGATGGCACCAATATTCCCTTATTATGGAGCGGGATTAATTCTAGCATCAGGACGCTGCGTTGGGGTTCAACTGAAATTCCAGCTTCTCCCGTCTATACATGAGACGAATCTGGTCCAAGGGGTCCGACGACCGGCCTACTCCTTCCTTCTTCAAAAAGGACGATCAACACACAAAGAAGAGCACAATTCATATTAATTAATTCAAATTAATTAATTAAGCACCCTTCTAAATAAAATTCCTCTACTTTTTAGTGGCTGTAATAGTTGGTGCTTGCGGTGTCCCCTTGTCAATCACAACTTGCACATGAATAATTAACTCAATTAAATGCACAAGAACAAAATCACTCGCGGAATAGAGAAGGGCACAAGAATGACTCCCTTCCATCGTATCTCGTCAAACACGCTTCCTTCTGCTTTGTGTTCCGGGTGAGGCCGCGGTCTCGATCTGGAGTGAGCGGAGTTAACTGATCCGCCGCGGTCCGCGTTCTCTCGTCGATGGCAAAATCCACAATCCGGATTTGTTTTCCATTAGCGCAGCGATCGATATCATTGAGGCCAGAATCAGTATCCTGTTAGGTATATATGACAGCAACCAAGCGTCTTAAAATTGTTAGAAATCGAACAGGAAAAATTAGGTTACTGATTTGGATGAGTTGCGGACTAGGTCGCTCTCTTTAAGAAGTTCGCGGCACTGCCTCATAATTCTCACAACAGACTATCAGCCGGTCGCCTCCAGGATAAAACAGCCACTCTAATTTTGCTGCTCATCGGTTTTGTGCGAAAACCGGAGCTCTATGAACTCACTCTCTCTCATGTCTCTGCTCTGCTTAGGTGTGTTTAGAGGGTCTGAGGCGTCTCCTATTTATAGGAGCAGAAAACCCAGAATATTCCCTCTTTCTTTGGGAATAAGTCACATTTTAATTAGGAAGATAATTACTCTCATAATTAAAATATAATTTATTAAGATAATTATTCCTAATTATCTCCATAATATTCCTTTTATTAATAATCCATCTTAATTTCGTATTATGAAAAATACTGGATAATTAATTAGGAATTTCATCATAGCTTTTCAAAGCTATTCATCCCAACACAAACCCATCAAACTCTACTCATCTACCATCTATTTGGACTTCATACCCAACCCAATTGGGTTAGATAGTAAAATATCCATGGATATAGGCAAAGTTGTCATCCCTAATTGTATTCATACAAGTGCAAACTTCAAACTTGTATCAGTTGGCTTTTGTTTAAAGCGATGTTTAATAAATGATATAAGATTCATAATCAAACAACTAACAACAAATCGAGTAATTGAAAACAACCACTTCCAAAGGAACTGATTAGATACAAACTATATGAAATATAAATGGATTGTAATTATCATCCTCTCTTATCTAATTATTATCCTTTATTCCAATCGAGATGTATATTGTCTATCTACTTTGACGATAAAAGCAAAAACACATACTGAGTTCCTCAATAATTACTTATGGGCTTATGGCTGTTTCATACGAATGTGCAATGGCGGGCCTAACAAGTTTGCTATCTCTACTACCTAGACCCCAAAACCAGGAAAGGAACACAAGTTTCTACTCACCTTTCCATTTATTTTCCACTTCTAGTCCAAGTAAAGATTACAAATTTCCCAGACAATAGAAAATTGTGAGGTTGGTTATGCCATTAGAATTTGGCTTGGGGCATTGGCGAATTCTAATAAATGTTTTCGCCTTCATGGTTGATGAAACTCTAAAACTAAATTACAAAGTTATCAAATACCACAAATTGTCGATTTCTTCATGTATTAGAGGCCATTGAAAAGATAGTTGCTTACGAAAAGTATTTCATGATGCAACAACAGAAATTGTCAACAATATTTGGGTATGATGATTGAGATGTTAGACTTTTAAATATAATGTTTAAAGTTCGAATACGCAGTCTTTTCCCAACTATAAATATTTAGATTTTTTTATGATGTTACTTCATATAATAATTTGAATAACGTTTATATCGAATTGAATAGAATAAATAGATTTTCAATTTGGTAGTATATACATGAAAGATCAATAGAAATTATAAACTTTCCTCTAGATAATTAATAAAATTTAAATAATTTAGGGGCCGTTTGGTTTTGGTGATATCTAAATCAAAATAAATTGTGTAATGTATTTTACATAATTAATAAAATTATGTAAATGTTTTACATTGTTTGGTTTCGGTGATAGTTCTTTTAGTATTTAACAAGTTATATTACTTTTTGTAGGAAAAATCACTTTTGTCCTTACTTTTATGAGAACATATATGTATAACTAGGGTATAACTCGAACAAAAAATAAACCCAACAATCTCTAGTTTAGTAGAGATATTACTATCACTTCTTTTGAGTGATAGTTTCCATCACATCAACAAAGCAATAGGTGTATTGTTTAAATAAATAAACCAAAAAAAATGCATTGCTAATAATGCACACATTGAAACAATCTCAACTAAATTATCACCAAATCCAAACAATCCTTTAATTAACTATATAAAAAAAGTTCAATAAGAAAGTTACCAAAAACTAAAAACAACAGGTTTGATTAAGGTATTTTTAATAATTAATAACCATGTCATGCCACAATCTTTACTTTTTGGTATTTTGAACAAAACCACAAGAAAATAGAAAAATAAGAGGAAAACATTTGCAAAAGAAAGAGAAAGAGTGGAACCTGATGCCCTTTTTGATGTATGAGTGGGTGGTGGTCTTTCTCCCTCTCTCTCTCTCTCTCATAAAGTTTTCCACCTTCTTTCATCTCTGTGAATTCTTTTTCCTCCCTTTCCCCAAATCCATCCCCCCTTCTTTCATTTGTCGTTCTTCTGTGTTCTTCCTTCCCTTGCAGTAGGCAGATAAAAACCCTCTTCGTCTGCTCTTGTCATCATAGAGATGATCTAATGAAGAAGAAGGTAACTGTTGTTTATGGGGTGGAACTGCTAAAGGAGACTGCTTCTTCTTCCCAAGAATGAATCTTTTTGCTTGTTTATTTGTTTTTATTTTTATTTTTTCAGTCTCTGGGTTTTGATTATATCCTTATTTCCCTTTTATGACTGTGAACTTAGCTCTTCGATGTGCTCTATTAATTGCTGTAGGATTTTGGGAGATGGGCTTGGAATGATTTCTCTTCTTCTTCATTTCAACTATCTCACTCTCTCTCTCTATGTTATTTGCTTTGATTTCTCACTGTAACTATCCGTTGATTTCTGTCTTCATTCACTATTGTTTTGCTTGGCCACTCCATTTATCGATTCCTCTGCTCTTTTACCTGCTTACCTTTCCTTTCGCCCCTCCCCCTCTTCTTGTTAATTTGTGGATTCATCTAATCCGGCCACATAAAATAACACTCCTTCCAATACTTGCTTCTGCTAATCTCAGTCTTCTCCCTTATCTCTTGCTGCTTTGCTTGATTTTTCATTACATAAAATAACCCACCGCTCAACCCTCTCTCTCACTTCTAATGAGTTGTTTATGATTATATCCTATGTTTGAATCGATTTAGTTTTGATGATTGCAGGCTGATGAGCTAGTTGAAGTTAAAAGTTTCATCCTTTCTTGATCTTCCTGATGTACACTTCATCTAGCTTGAAGAAGTAGATGCTGCTGCTGCTGGAGTTTTTTTTTTTTTTTTGTTGGTTCAAACTAAGCATCTTTTTCTGTGTTTGGGTTTGGGTCCCCTCCTGTGGTGGAGAAGGAGTACTTTGTTTTGTTGGTAGTGGTGGACTGGTGGTGGTGGGGTTTTGGTTTCATGGAGGAGTGAATGAATCAAAGCTGCTAATAATCAAATTAGCACAGTTTCTAGACCAAAGTTTGAAAAAAGAAGAAGAGAGAAGTAGATAAGTAAGCAGAGGAAGAGGACTTCATTTGATTTTGTGTACATGCTGAAGTTAAAGATAAGGAGGCCTAAGAGCAGCAGCTGCAACAGACGCTGCAATAAGGTGAAGGAGATCAAGACGAAGAAGCTGTTGCTTGTGACTACTGTTGTTGTGGCAACAACAGCAGCACAAGAAGAGAGAAGTTTAGCATCAGATGTTATCATCCATTGATCAAAACCTGCTTCAACCACCAGATCCCTCATCACCTCATGTTCTTCCCTCCCAATTCTCTATTTCTCCTTCTCCCTCCTCTACTTCTTCTTCTCCTTCCTCAAAGCCTTTGGTGCCTCAGCTGCAGCAGCCGGTCTCGTCGCCTGAGCTCGAGATAGAGGCAGATCTACCAAACCCACTTCATAGTTTCTCCATAAGGTAAAAGTTTGAATGAAAGCTGTAACATATATATATATATAATTTTTAAACTTTGCCTTAATATTTTCTTGGTCTTTGTTTTAGACTTATGTTGAAGGATGAACAGTGCCAAGTAGATTTTTTTTCTTCTCGCCCTCCCCTCTGATCTTCTTTTTGGCTGGACGCCATACAGCTTCTTCTCTCCTTTCGTATGTCGTTACTAGTAAAAAAATTTCTATGGTGAATTTGTTGAGACTCAGATCCAGAGGGTTACATCTCTATGCTTACTTTGTGGCTCTCTGCCAGACATACCATGGGGCCTGTTCCATGACATATACCACCTCTAGTTTGGTGTCTAGTATTTTTCACTATTATTGTTACTAATCTTCAATTCCGGCCAGTGGTAACTTTTGCTATTTTGGTAAGAGTCTCAACCTTCATGGCTTCCTTTTAATTTCCTCAAACCATTCTGCTTCATCTTACTTCCTAATTGGATGCTGTAGTAGTTACTCTTTCTGCTTTCAATTTTTTTCATGCCCTTTCCTTTTTGCTTCATTCACAAAGTTGTAGGCTTGTGATTTCATGTCACCTTCTATTCGTTGGTTGCAGAGATTATGTGTTCACAGCACGAAGCAAGGACATCAAAACTAACTGGCCATTCTCATTGAAGAACCTACAGCTTTGTTTGAACCATGGCTTGACAGAAGTTTTGCCACCATTTCAGCCTCTTGATACCATAAGGAATCTTCAAAGTTTCGGCAGATCACACACAGTTAAAGAACCACCCATTACTACCATCGTTGACAAAGTTAATACAAGCAAATTCAATAATAAGAAGAATGACGGGGTGATAGAGCCATCATCTGACGATACAGATACGGTTGTGAAGTTGACAGAGAAACAAGTTGATACAATAAGTTCATGTAGACATGCCGAAGTAGATGGTAACTCATTCCCATCTTCGACAACAACTGCTACTACTAGTGACGTAGAATTACTTCCCAAAGCATCGTTGAGAGCCTCGAAGAAGTGCAGGCTGGTAGTGAAATTTGGTGATCGTGGTGTCTCGGGAGAATACATTGCTTCAACTAGTACTACTGTTACGCCTATAGTATCTGAATCATCATCTATGATGGCTTCAAAAGTCTGCCCGGTGTGCAAGACTTTCTCTTCGTCGTCAAACACTACACTAAATGCTCACATTGATCAGTGCCTTGCTGTGGAGTCTTCTTCGACACTGCCCAAATGGACAATAGATGATGATGATGATGATCAATCGAAGGTGGCAAAGCATCATCATAGGGTGAAGCCGAGGAGGACAAGAGTGATGGTTGATATATACAAGACGGCTCCCCGTTGCACGTTGGAAGAGCTCGATCGACGAAATGGGAGGCTTTCAAGCTTGTCAATGGAGGAGGTTGATGAGGATAAGACAACGTGTCTGGAAGGAAAAACTGAGAGGTTAAAACCAGTTCGAGCTGAGAAAATTCTTGGTGATGTTGGACCGGTGTATATTGATGAGAGCGGGACCAAGGTGAGGATTTTGTCGTCCAAGTTTGATGAGGTTTCTCTAGTAGTGGCGAGAGTAGTAGGGGAGAGTGGGGTTCGGATGAAGAAGGACAAGAAGAATAAATGTTTGAGAGGAAGTAAAAACATGGTGGTTATGAAGAAGAGGAAGAGTCTTGTACATAAGCATAAGAAGTATCTGAAACTTGCAGCTCAAAGCAAGAAGCTTTTCTCAGATAAAACGACTTGTTCTTCCCAGGTATGTATGTTTATTCAGCTTCCAGATATCTTGGAATGGTAGAATTTAGCTTAGATGTGCATGTTTTAAAAGTTCCATTGAGAGCAAAGGGGTTCTTTGTGAGTCATGGGTTGTTAAGATATGTAGATTATCGAGAATACATAGTTGATGAAATTTCGGAATGCATACTTGTTGCAACATATGTAAGGTTTAGGCGAGTTTATTTTCATTCTTTCTGCAGATTGAATAGGCTTAGCAGTTGAACCTTGTTTTTTTTTTTTTTTTTTTTTTTTTTGAATTTATGCTGATGAAACAGATTGGTGGGAACCATGAGCAGCCTGCAAATCTGAGAGCATTTTCTGATAAGGAGCTTCTTGCCTCTCAACAACAAATCACGCCTGATAATAATTCCGGGAACCTAAGACCATGGGTTTGTTCCAAACCCAGAGGTATTCCGAAAAAGATTAACAACCACCACCAAGAGGGTCACCAGCAACAGCAACCTCCTATAAGAAGTCAATGGCATTCCCCTCTTGTGGAATCTGATGACCAGTCATTTCCTGTTGGCGATTCCAGTGAAGAGAGCACAGGTATTCAGAAGTTCACGAATCTTTCAGAGAATCTGGCTTTTCGTCACGAGAGGATTGAGAAGAACAAAGTCCAGCAGGAAGTTAGCATCAAAAGGAAACGTGGGAGACCCTTGTCTAGGAGGCCTGTCATTACTGGCGATGAAGATGTGGGGAAGTCTTTCAGTTCAATGAAGCAGAAGTTTGTCGAATCAAATAGACATGACCATTGTGATCGTTCGTTGAAACCGTCATATACTTGCAAGAATAACACGATGGATAAGGTGTCAAGCGATCATTCTGTTGTTGAGGCAGGAAAGAAAAAGATTAAGAAAGGGTCCAACTTTAAGGAGCCTCAGGTTCATTTGATCGATGGAAGACGGGATGAGTTGTTAGCAGGCAATAATGAGGTGGATCAACAACTTGATTTGCTGCATGATCATAGAGAGTATCAACTTGAGAGTGATGTAGTAACTGAAGAACTGGCTTGTGGTGATAGTAATGCTATGACTGAATCCAGGCAGATTGAAGGGATTATGATATGCAATAACTTGCAAGGTAAGGAACGATTGGGTTTGAACAGCTTGGATTCTGTATCTCCTGGTTTTGACTCGACTAGAGAACTGGTTCATGGAGACGACATTGTCAATGAATCACTGTCCAAGACTGCAGATGGAATGCATGATGGTGCTAGTTTGAGTAAGTCCATTGACACGGTATTTTATTCGGTGAAGGACGCTTCAAAACTATCAATGGAAGATTACAGGGGGTTTCTAAGTGGGTCTGAAGCACCAACTGATTCTGTTGAGCCAGATTTTGTGAACGAACATGAAATGGAAATGGACACAGAATTTGATTCCGAAGAAGCTGAAGATGGAGGAATGGACTCCTTTCCTGAGGTCGATCCAATTCCTATCCCTGGTCCCCCAGGCTCGTTCTTGCCAAGCCCCAGGGACATGGGAGGATCAGATGATTTTCAAGGGAACTCATCAGTGACCACCACCAGCCGAGCTCAGTCGTCTCTTGATCTTGGTAATGTTGTCGATAAAGATTCTTCAGAATCTCCAATTTCTGCTGCCTCAAGCATCTCCAACTCTACTACTGCAGCACACAATGGATGTGCGCTTGATTTTGTTGAAAGCAAGAGATCATTAGGCTCAACGGCTGTTACAAGTAGTGACATCGAGCCTCTTGTGCAAAATGAAGACGATCTTCCAGTGAGCAAGTCATGCATTTTAAAGGAGCTAAATATGAGATTTGATAGAAACCATCTCGATAAGGGATCATTCACTGTGAGAAATGATGATCATCATCAGCCATGTTGCTGTCAAAGGAAAGAGAGAGTACCACTTGCTCCAGCCAGTATTGTGCTGAACCAGCATGATTCTTCTTTGCTGCTTCGACGACGAAAAATGGCTGCTGCTTTAATGACGACAGATAATCCTAGTGGTGAACCAAAAGGCTGCAGCAGTTCATTGATCCCCGAGTCGTCTAGTACATTTGACACGAGAACTGAATATGCTCCTCCTGGCTCTTGTCCTACTTTAGGTGCTGATAATGTGGGTTTCCAGGTCATTAAACCTCATGTGATTCCCTCGATGGACTATGAATCGAGTAGTCCGTCAACTCCCAATCCAGTGCTGAGGCTGATGGGAAAGAACTTGATGGTTGTCAACAAGGAAGATGAAGCACCCAAGCCTCCATATTTGCAGCAGCAGCAGCAGCAGCTGGCATTATTATGTCATCCTCAGAATCACTATTCGGCTGATCCTAAATTCCCAACGTTTGCCACAATTGGAAATGTCCTGAATCACGAGCCTCATTCATTGAACCAGATGGTTCCTCGTCCCCATTCATCGGTAGTTTTCCCTAGCAATCTGCATCATGTGAGTCCTTACTCGAACATTGGGTTGGCCAATGCTGCAGCTGTTCATCTACCTAATGGCATGTTCCGGAACTATCCTCCACAATGCAATCCACTGGCAACGAGTGCATACTTATCACCAGCTCCCCGCTGCACAAAAGAGGTTATCATCATCGATGATGATCCTGAAAGGGTGCATCCCATGATGGCCAATAAGCTTATTTCAAAATATGGTGAAGGCAGTAGTATTAGAGAGAATAAGAACCATGTCATCTCATCAGGCAGCATGTACCTGCCAGGAGGAATGCAGAGTAATTATATCCCGAATCACATGCGCCCTAGCGCTTGCTATCCTCCCTCTCAAGAATACCAGCATATCTCTCCCATCGACGAATCATCATCACCGACTGTACGTGGTAACAGGTTTCATTTGGCAACTCCTAGTAACATTCGGTGGCCAGCAGTCAGTTCTGGAATGCTGCATCAGAGTCCATTGCAGGCTGCTGCGCCACCACCACGACCACCACCATCCTCTAACGCTATGCTGCCATCCTCGTCAGCGTTGTACTATTCTCCAAGCTTCTCATAGCGAAACGCCATGTCGATGATGATCATAATAAAGCTTTGTCCTCCTGCACCAGGTTTGCATTCATGAAACTTTATCTATCATTTTACCTTTGCAGTAGAAATCGAACGTTTGTCTGTCGTTGGGAGAGTTATTGTGGATGAAGTAACGAGCAGAGCTGAGATCGAAAGGAAAGGTTCAGTTGGTTGTATTGATCTGATGTACTGAGAAATGGGGAAGAGGGACAGACAATCAAATGTAGAGAGATATAGAGAGAGAGGTACCCTTTTCCTTTGTTTTTTGCCTGTGTCAAAAACACTCTGAAGCCTTTCTTCTACAAGTTGACTGGACAATCAAATGTATAAGCATCATAAAAGCTAAAAAGTGAGAAGAAGAAGAAGAAGAAGAAAGAAGCCCATGAATGAATAATATATATAAGCAGGTTTTGACCCCCCCTCTGCAGCAAGGAACCTTTGGCTTCCAAAAGTCGGGAAATTTTATCATTTTACTGTTTTACCTATACATATGTGATGTCATATTTCATGCATTTACTTGGACTTTGTCATTTATTTTCGTACCATTTGAGTAGCAGTTTTGATGGTGATGCGACAGTGTTGTGCTTTCATGCTGATAGACCATAGTGATTCCCACACCACACGCCAGCAAATGTATTTGCTATTTGCTGTATGCTTCAAAATGCGTGGATTACACACACACACACGTCTGTTTAGTTTTATGGCCGTCAATTACTTAAGCCAAACCAGCAAAGCAGATGCTGTTAGGGCTAACTTGTTTGATCAGTTGAGTTACATTTTATTTTAGCGTATTATTGAGTCTCGTCTCGTCTCGTATGACCTCCACCGAAGAGAGTTTTCATGCAATATTTTAATGCATTATCATATTGGTTTACACTCATTTTCTTCTCAAACAAATCTCCTATGTTATGTGTACGTACCTTATTGAAATTGGCAAATTCCATTAATACCCTAACAAGACTGAGGTGACATGTCCTCCCCTATGTTGATGTCTCTCTTCTCTTGATGATATAGTGAGAGTTTTGTTATATTCCTAGTTCCTTTCAAGAAGAGAAGAAAATGGGATTTAATTTTTTGTATATATATATATCATGCTTGAATTAGCGAGATTTACAATCTGTCATTCATCATAACAGATTGAATCAAAATAACGATCATGAGGGAACTACATTGGTTAAATTTATTCACCTGGTAACAATGAAATGACGTTGTTAATTCACTAGTAGAAGTCATTGTGTTTGGACCTTTGTCGTGAGGAGGTGGGAGGGGGAGGTCGTTTTCATGAAGGGATGAAATTCGACTCAAAGGACAAAGACAAAGTCAAAGTGTTGCATTTGCATACATATGATAAGAAGTAGTGCAGAAGCAATGTGGCTGGCTGGCTGCTTTCTCACACACGGACACAGTACATAATGTATTAGGCTGCCTTGGTTGATGGCGACCTTTTCCTTTGCTTTGCTGGTGCTACCCTGGTCTGAGTCTCCTGGCTGCTTCTTTGGCTTGGTGCCGTGTTGAAATTTGTTATTACAACTAATATAAGCACTACACTCGCAGAGAATCCTCTAGATGAACTAATCACAAATTAACAAGTAGATTCTTTGTTACAACGGAAAGAGCCCTCCATACTATCTCCAGTTCCCATACCACATTTCCCCGCCTCTGTTTCTGATGCTCTGGTACTCTACTGCTTGGCAATGTTTCTTCGATTGTCATTTTCAGCTCGAGATTAGAGTGCGATTTTGCAACAGAGTAAGCCAAAATCAAAAGCTATTTCAATCACAATGGAGAAACATAAGCCAGCAATGCATACTGATTATTAGGTGTTAATGGTACAGAATATGCAGTTCAACAATGCTCTTGCGGCAAACTGTATTTCATCAAAACTGAGTCAACACCACTGCTCTCTTACTCTTACATGCTCTATTGCTCTAATCCAAAACCGGAATCAAACATCCAACAGAAACCCATGTATGTAGATAACTAGAGACCATTAAACCATACAAAAATTTCATCACCTTGTTGCCACGACCGATGGAACCCATCTCTAGGAGATTCATCCACTTCACTCAATCACCAAACTCATAAGCAAGACAACAAATATGAACCATCGCCAAGGCTCAAAACAACTCAGCTGATCTAGCAGTAACTTGTCTAAGCTTCGAGTTCACCTTCCCGGGTGGTGCACCCAAAATGAGGCTGCAGAGAGCATCCCTGGCGATCTTGATATTCCGAAACGACCCCAAGATGTGGATCTTCTCGTCCGCCAACACGATCCTTGTCTTGGTAGCATTCTCGATGGAGAACTTGGTCTTCCCTCCTTTCCCCGAAAGCCTCCCGATGGCTCTTGACTTGTGCTCCCCCTTGAGCGTCTTCACATCCTTGATCTCAAACGAGTCGACGTACAGCTCGTCCATCCTCAGCAGGGCCACTGCGTCGATCACATCGAACCCCATCATGAAGGCATGGACGAAATCGGCGCACTTCTGCAGGTTGCTGATATCAGGGGTGTCTACTCTCGTCTTCAGCTCGACCTTCCGTGCCTTGAGGTTCATTCGGATGTCAATCTTCATCTGCTCGTAGACCGGTGTGTATATTTCCATCCATGCTTTCTTCAGCGGAGTGTATCGGTGAGGAGGGACGGAGACTTTCCTGAACTGGACTTTCCCGTCGGACATCTCGTGTGCCTTGAGCGGCTCGAACAATGGCTTCTCCGCAACAGGCGGAGCTACACCATCTATCTCCATAGCTGCTAGGTTGGTTTCTTCCCTACAAAATCGAACAATTGGAATCACAGATTACCCCTTTTCTTCGAAATTTTCTCTTTCTAAACCCTCCCCTCTGAAACATTCAATCAACACACTGAGATTCTACCAAACCGTAGCGCAAACGAGAGACTGATAGACTAGCTTGACGGAAGGGAGAGATGAAGAGGTAGAGTGGTAGGAGAGGAGGGGCCTTACCTCGGAGGAAATGGCGGAGCAGCTGCTGGCTGGTGAAAGACAGCGGCGATGTGCGTTTAGTGCTTTGCTCGGAGGAGGGAGGCGAGGCGAGGCGAGGCGAGACGGCAGAATTAGGGCAAACTCTGGAAAATATCAGGGGAAGAGGGAAAACACACACCGTTTCGCGGGACTTTTATTTTCCGGGAAAAGAGGACTACTATTTTTTAGACGGGCCATGGGCTGGCTAAATGCGGATAAGAGAAGATGGGCTTCTTGTGGGATTTATTTGGGTCGGGCCGACCAATTCAGAATCGAAGCCATCGAATCCTCGATTGGCTTCCTGTTGGCCGTGGCCGTGGCCACGTTGTGCCGATCGGGTTTGGTTACGACCGGACCGGACCGGACCGGACCGGTAACGAATGAGTAGAAGAAGGTAGGTACTGCTGCTGAACTAGTGACTGATTTCCTTCCAGACCCATGGATTCCTTTCCTTCCCAATGTCGTCTGCTTAGAAATGATATTTGATAGAATGAATCTGCCTATGCCTTCACAACAAAGCAGCCAAATAGTACATTGCACAGAAAGGCTTATATAACAAAGATGATGATACCATTCCATTCAGTGGAAAACCATTACATTTCATATCTCCATTCCAATCGTGAGAATAATAAGTACACATAAATAGCAATACATATATCATATGAGCACGGTGGCCTGGTTGTCCACCTGAGGAATTCAATCTAAATATTATCTGTACAATCAGCAAATTTCAATGCTTTGGCCACAAAAGAATCAGGTCATGATCATCAAAGTGTACACAAATCAAGCAATCTATAACATATACTATACGGTTCCCTTCCTTTCCTCCCTTATACCTTCCCACCTAAATCCTTCACAGTTTCGTCATTATAAATAAATCGCCCGTTTGATGATTCAAGACACATTGTCTACAACAACAGCAGCAGCGGGACTCAGAACCAGGGATCACTGCAGCCAAAGCCAATGCCCAGCTAAACCATTCACATGGTGGAAGGAAGAAGATCACTAGTTCTTAGAAGCCTTTCCAAGCATTGAGGACTTCATGGAACACTTCGGCAATCAAATCCCTGTCTCCACACTGCAAGAAGGCACTGAAATCGTCACGAATGTCGTAGATCTTCCCAAACTTCACCAGATACCTCATGCAGCTGGCCTTCAGTCTAGGCAGTTGGTACAGTGCAGCACTCTGAAGCCTCTCGAGGACATTCTTCGCGTCTATATCTTCCAACAGGCTTATATCATGACCAAACAATGTCAGTTGATCAGACAGGATGGCCGAATTGTAAGTTTTCTAATTAGTAAAGATCGTGACTTTTAACTAACTACCTAACTAACTAAGTACCTTTCGTGGCAAGCTTCCTTGAGGTCGGAGATGTCGTACTTGTCTGCTGCACGGAGCAATGCGAGGCGGTGCGCGATGAACTCCTCGTGGCTGATGCTGCCGTAGATGTAGTTCATGAGGGCCTGGCAGGCCTCGATGGACATGTCGGATATGTTGACGGTGGAGAGCTCTTTCTCCTTGAGGTTGTGCGCGAACATGCTGCGGAACACAGGGGATCTCGCCGCCAGGACAGCTCGGTGTGCGGCTATGGTGCCGTCCGAGGCGTTGATGGTGATGTCGGTGTGGATGGCTTCGGTTAACATTCGAGCAAGGGACGAGAGCGCTGTCGCATTTGAACGTCTCTCCGTCAGGCCTCCTCCCCAGATTGAACAAGGGTCTCCTCCCTGAATGCATCAAGAACTTGATTACAATGTTCAAAAGTATGTCCTTAAAGGGTGCGTCACATTGGAAGTTCACTGAACTAGTTAAAAGGGAAACCGGGGAGTCCTTTCTTTGTGCGGATGAGCAAAATGTGTCTACTAATTGTTCTGCTAGCATCAACCACAATAAATAAAGAGGATTCGAGAAAGCATACGTCTGGTGATGCAGTCTTGAGGTCGAGAAATTCGACGTCGATGATGAATTTGCCAGTCAGTGGAACCTCAATCGCCCACACGAAATCGTCGTTGCTCTTTAGTTGCCTGTCTGTGATTTCTGCAGCAAGTCACATTGGAGAGAAAGACAATCAGTTCCATCCATCAATTGAACACCAAAAAGCTTAACATGTAAAGAAGAATCAAAACTTATTCACTATCTCTTGAGTTCTATGATCAAGTTCGAGTCTTTTACTCTTTTCACTGTGTCCCAGAGGAAACCATTTCGATTGAATGACTCAAAACTCTTTCATCAAGATCTTACACCATCTTCATAAAAATCCCTGAGCTTTGTCCAGACTCCTAAACCTCTAACACCATGCTAAGAAATGATTCATCCAACTACCTCGAGTCAGTAGAAAGGTCAATCATGAATTTATACCAGGATGAATCAAGGACTTGCGACCTCCAGCGGAGCAAACAACCCGAATAACAAAGGATGCGATGGGAGGATTCTCTCTGGTCAGATTGGATATCTCTGGATACAGTTTAACAAACAACACCCTGTTCTTCTCCACTGATAAATGCCTGCCAATCCAAATCAAATGAAGATCGTTAAAAGACAAATCAATTATCTCATCCAGAATTCATTTCGTTTCGCGCCGTTCTAGGCTTGTTGCCATCCATCTTCATACCAGAGATTAGAGATAAAAAAAGGTCAGGACAAAACGAAGTAATCAATGAGGAAGGACAGCGAAAGAGACAAAACGGAGAACCAATAATTCTTATAATGGGCAATTGGTAAAAGTCCATTTGCTTCCATACTTCCTCTGAGCTCTGGCAGCTGTGTGACCAGTTCGCCCAAAAAAGAATCCCTATCCAAAGTTTTCAGTTTGGATTGCCTTTTTGCCCATCCATGCAATTCAAAGCGAAAGAAAGAACAGACACCCACTTGGCAGCCATAGTAAAGCAAGTTTCTTACGACGAGTAAAGTAACAGAAGAAGAAGAAGTAGTATCATCAACCAAGCTAAGCAGGTTGCTTTCTGTGTGTTTTAAGACAACGGGGTAAATGAGAAAGTTAATTGGGCGGGAGTTACCAATTCCAGTTGCCGATCTTGAAAGGATCGGATTTGCGGTAAGAGCAAGAGGAGAGGTTGTCGATCCGCCATTGGGCGAGGCGAGAGGTGGTGTCGACTCGGTAAGCGGAATCGTTCATCCTAGCGAAGGCCAGTGCCGAGGTGATCTCATTGATGCAATCGAAGATCCTCCCGTCCAAGAAATACGCTCCCGCCTTTCCCAGGTTGCCGGAAACTAACTCTACCCTCCCGCCGGCTAAGAAGACAGTACTCGCCCCTGCTCGCGTCCGTCATAAACGCCCACAACACGAAGCGCGATCGTCGGAATGGATGATGTTTTTTTCAGGGAGCAGATGAAATGGGTCTGTTTTAATTGGGGATATGGGAGAAGGGTTGGGGGAAAGGGAGGGGATTTCCGATTGATTGATTGTTGCTTTCACGCCATTGACGAACTCCCTTCCCTCTGTGGTAGCTCAAGAGTGAAGAAGACACGGCGTTTTTAAAAGAAGGAAATAAGGAAGGGAAAGGGTGGGTGGATTACACTGCACTCCTTGTGGAGGAAGGATTTAGATTCTTTGATTGGACGACTGGTTATTACTGCATTATTATTGGGGGAAGCTTCACGGTTACGGACGGTTGAAGAAGAAAGGAAAGAATTTTGGGTTTGGGTTTGCTTTTTCTGGGATTGAGTGTAAACTTTGGTGCTTTCAAGGAAAGTATCTTGTAGTTTGTCAGTGGGGAAGAAGGGTTTTGGGTTGGAAATGGGAGAAGAAGATTCAGAGTCGTGGGGTTTGATTGGATTGAGTGAGCCCACTGCCCCACTCCATCCCCCACCACTGGATTCCCTTTCTTGTCCTTCAGACTTGCTACAATTTGCAGCATGGCTTAAATTGTTATTAAGATTCATTAACTCGATTGATTTGTTTGCACTATTGGATTGCACATTCCGTGGGATGAGATAGCATGCCTACTCCCAAATATTATGTTTGGCAACAAGGGGGTGCAAGTTCGAGGGGTACAAGTTGAGGGGTAAATTGTTGGGGGGTGCAACTTGGTGGAGGGTGTAAGTGGAGGGGTAAATTGTTGTTTAGATGAAAAAGTAGGGGGGTACAAATAGAGTAAAAAGTAAGTAATTATATTATTATAAAATAGATTTATCAATTTATAAAATATTATCACAAAATAATAACATGAAAATTCAATATATAATAATAAAATGACACCCTCTATTAATTATAGGTTTTTAAGATAATTAATTTGTGTTGCATTTAATAATCTGTATGAATTAAAAATACATATTAATTACTTTCCTTTTTTCAGTGCACTAGTAGTTGTATCACTGCAATGGTATTAGTGTACAGGTGCAATGGTAGTTCCAAAAAAGTAACGTAACTAATATGAGTTCAGTATACAGGTGCAATGGTATTTGTATTAGTGCAATGGTAGTTGTATTAGTGCAATGGTAGTTAAAAAAAAGGAATGTAATTAAGATGAGTTTTTAATTTCCAAAGATTATTAAATGCAACACGAATTTAATACAAAAAAATAACTATAATTAATAGGAGTGTCATTTTTTCAACCCTTAAAAGGGTTAGCATGCTAACCAATCCCCACATTCCGTGATTCATCCCGTTCTAAATGCTCTAGCATGGGCCGGGGTGCGGGATTTGTTCCTATTGATCCTTATGGTAAAGTATATTACCTAACAGTCTTTCATATATTTTGTTACTAACTTTATTGATTAGGTGGGTTTTCACAGTTCATCGTCTATTTTTCAATTTATTACAGAATTTAATAGCCATACATATTTATATAATTGAGCATATTATTATTGATAATCGTATATTTCAATTATGGATCACTCAGTAATAAAAACACAAAAAATAGGTAATGAAGCCTAGTGATTAGGTAATTTGGCAAGGTTTTATTCGCTAATCCAGGAGGCAAGAAAAGTATCTAGTGGGGGTGGGACAGGGATTATTGTGTGTTGTATGGATGGATGATCTGCCTTTTAACACATTCCCTATCTTGCAAGTAATCTCTATGTAAATGACTTCCCAATTAATCACTATCGTACATTTGTTTGGGAATCCAATTATGATTTGATTTACTATAATTCATTAATTGATGACTGCCGTTTGATCCAGGATTCCTTGAATCTTTGCTTTTGTATGGGAATAAACTCCCAACGCCACGTTAACATTGATAATTTAATATGGTAGGGTACTTGTTGGGGGACAAAGGTGGGGTTTTTTTTTTTTTTTTTTTTTTTATGAAAGGTGGGGGAGATTTAAAAGAGGCACTTGAATTTAATTTGTGTAGTGAGTGGAGTGTTCATTCTACTTCTCAACTAATATTGTGACTTTTATTATTTCCATCAACATCCTCTAAGCTGGTTATAAGATTTGGTTAAATTGGCCCGAATTGATCTGGTCTCAATCCGGTCTTTTTGGAAATATAAGGACTAAAGATTAGATTGGATACAATCCGGTCTTGATTCGGTCCGATCCTAATTCGGTCTTGATTGTAGATTGAGCTTGTGGGAATTTTAGTTGCCCAATGATTCAAAGGATGAGGAGTTGGTTAAATTTTGGGTGTTGGGCTCTCTTACCGGGTCTTTATCCGGTTTTCAATCCGGTCCCAACCAATTTTTTTACCTCAAATCTAAACCCAAAAATTGGATTGGATTGTTTGCTATCCGGTTCCGGTCAGGTTTTGGGTAAACCCAAATAGCCCGGACCAAATAGTCAGCCCAAACATTCTCAAATGGATTGGAGGTTTACAATACCTGTTTTTTCGACAATGCTAGTGTCATCAAGTTTTTATTTATGAATTGTATTGATTACCGACTTAATCTAACTTACCTCTCATATTCCTTTGTATTTATAAGACGTACTGAGTTCTAATTTGACACTAACTCTCGACAACTACCACCAGTAGTGTTGCATGTTGATCATATTAACTTCGTGTGTCATCAAGTTGGGAAAATGCTTAACTCTCAATATATGAAGTCCATACAAAAGCCCCATACACAACTTTTTGACAATGAAAACTTGCACCAAAAAAGTACAATGACTCCATCGATAATTTTATCTTTGAAGATATTTTTCCGTATATTTATTTTACCACGAGTTGTTGATTTCTATGTAATGTATGCATATTAGCTCATCCTTGATCCAACCAAACCAATCAATAGTGAAAACAAAAAACAAAAGAAAAATGCATGGGATATATATAGTGGGGATGTCACACAATAGTCAACATTTTACAGCAGAGAAATTAAAATTAGTTTTTTACACCAAATCATTACCAAGGAAACACATCATAATCTCCCCATAAACACTTAATTAATCACAAGTAGACTCAAATTTGGAGGTGGGCCATTGGCTCCAAATTTTCTATATTTCTCCAATGTCACCCTCAATGGAATTGAGAGGTTGCTCAACAATAGGGTTAGATATTTTGGAATGGTGGTGAAAAATGTTATAATAAGATTGGATAGTTGGCCTAGTTGTTCTAAAGACTTGGCCCCTCTGAAATGCATCATCAATAATGGATTTATTTGCAGTTAGTAATGAATTCGTATTTAATCAATCCATACACATTTGTTCTTCTACAAGCCTTGATGTTGTGACTTGTGACTCAACTTTCAAACCCAAGATCTCATGGTTCATTTAGTGTATTGACTGAAATTGGGCCTATGTTGTGGTTGGGTTTGGTGGGTAATCAATTTTCAGATGGCCCTTATAACCACCATTAACCACCTCCTTAACAACCTTAATACCAAATAAATTCATCATCAATAACAACTAATCCTACCCGACACGACTAATTGTACCAAAGAGTAAAAAGTAAAATACCCTTGCCTTCCCGAGATTTGCAAGGCCCATCAAGACTCACCCAACCAGTCTGGGCCCGCTTTTAATTTATGTAGGCCGGACTAAGGAATTCCTCGACCCAATAATAGCATGGAATCATTGGAAGGCCCGAAGAAGGGTCCATGGAATCATTTTTCTGAATATTCTGACCCGAAACGGCGCCGTGTAGTCGTACGGTAAACCATACACGCGGACACTAGGTTTATATCGTTAAAAGTTGGTCGCCGCAAAGGCCGAATCCCAAAAAACGTTCAACTCTATTCACTCAGCACCAACCGGCGTCCCTCCCTCCCTTTCCCTCCGCCGCTCAACCGAACAAATTTGTCTTCTCGTTTACAAGTTCCCCATCAGCAGCGGAATAAGCCAAAGCTTCCTTCCGGCGGAAAATATTGAGCCATGTTGGTGAAAGTCAAATCGGAGGGCAACTTGGAAGCAGCAGCAGCTCCTGGAGCTGCAATCGGCGGGCAAAAGAGTATCAGCAGCCGCATTCCAGAGGAAGTAGTGGTAGATGAGAAGAAGCCTTCAACTTCTAAAACGGGCATTGTGATTGCTGATGATCCAGATGGAGTTCTTGTCGACGTCGTGACTTTTGCCGCCATTTCTGCTGCTCCTGCTCCCCCGCCGCCAAACAAGGCTGCGGCGGCGGCTGATTTGGACGCCACGGAGCACTCAAGTTCGTTCGAGGAAACGCTCTCCGACACGGATAAATGCAACAGCGAGGGGGAAGTGGAGTCGGAATTTTTTGGCGATGGCGATATTGCTTCTCCGTTCGATGCTTTCAGTAGCTTGTTCTACTCCAGGTACTACCTACTTCTCTGTCCATTGGAATGCTTTGGCTTAGCGGCGATGATGAATTTTCAATTCGAATTGCTTTGAAGGGATTGCATTTTTAGTTGAATGACCCAATTCAGTTCAGGACCAAGTTGGAATCATTGGGTTTGGATTGTGATTGAATTGAATGTAACTGTTCGGATGTTACCATTTTTTTTTTTGGGGTATTAAGATGTTTCAAATTTGAAATTGGATTGCTGAAATGTTTAAGGGGTCATAGTGCCAATTTTGTTCTTACAAGACCCTTAAGGATCTCTTAGTGTTCTTGTCAGCAAATCAGGTTAACCCAGACTTTGATTTGATATTTGGATTTCTTCCTGGGGTTACCTTTCATATACTTCAAAGCTGTATTATGTAAAGAGTGAGTAGAACATCATTAGTCCATTATACCAACCTAGCGATTTCGAATTATGTATTTCGATATTTGAGATGGATGTGTAGGACACCCTTCACTGACATTCCTTTGGTTCTGGCCTAGGAAGAAAAAGGTATCTAATCACTGGAGGAACTTCATACGGCCCCTCATGTGGCGTTGCAAGTGGGCAGAGCTCAAAATCAAGGAGATTGAGTCTCAACAGATGAAGTATTCTGGGGAACTCGCAGCCTATGAACAGAGAAAACAATCTGGAGTCTATCAGTCAATTCCTGTAGGGTTCTGTACAAAATCTCTGCCATTTTTGAATGCATGTAACAGAAGAAAGTCGAAGAAGAGGCGAAAGAGAAAGAGAGTCGAGGACTCAATGGATATATCATCATCGTCGTCTTTCTTTCCTGATCATCCGATTTTTTCTTACTTTGGTATGGGCTTCTAGGTATTGATGTACCAACTTCTTCTTGTTCCAATTTCCATTCGCAGCTTTTCTCAAATAGTTTTTGATGCGCCATTACTGCAGAAAGCAAGAGGGCTACTGCAGATGGAGCTGCTATGGTTGATGACTTTGATCCTATTGGTTAGCTTTTCTGCTTTCAAGATGGTTTATCAGTTTCCTACACGCATAAAACTATTATATGCTCACACTGTTTCTTTGGCTTTCTATAATGTCGAGTGCAGCATCGACAGACGCACCACGTACCGACACCAAAGACGAATTCGTGGACACCAGCGTCGAGCTGCCATTTGCATTTGGAGACTCCGACGCCTATGTGGAGAACATCCTGCTGAAAATCGAATCGGTGCACTCTCACGTCCACAAGTTGAAGGACCAGCTCGATTCAGTGATAACGAACAATGCCGGCAAGTTCTCTTCATGGGACAACCTCTGCCTTCTAGCGTCTTGTGGCGGCGAAGGGCAGACGAGCTCAGCTCCAAGCCCCGTGTTATCGGTTGGGTTCGATGGCGAGACGATGTCTCCCTGTGGTGGTAGGTATACGGCGGGAACTCAGCCTGGGTACGATATGAGCGAACTGGTTCTGCCTGGTAGTGCAGTGTCGAGTTTCGGAGAGGCTGTCCATGTTCCTGATATTATTGAGAGCACGGTGGGGATGCTGGCTGATGCTGAAGTGACGTTCCATGAGCCGCAGATGGACCATCCCTGTGAAGATGTAAGCATCAACTTCTATTTTGATACATTATTCATATCTTTCTTTTCTCACAAGAAAGCTGGAGTTACCCAAATCAAATTTCCGCCATGGCTGATCCGCAAATCGCCTTACTACTAGGGGCCTGCGATGCATTTGTTGGATAGATAGGAAAGCAAGTTTGGAATTGGAATTTTGAAACCACTCTGAGAAGGCTACCTCCCTGACTGTGTGTGAAAAAACCTTTGTATCTGCAGGTGCTGGAAAACGTCGTGATAAAAAATGAAGCAGCGGATAACACAGATGCTTTCATGGGGAGGACGATGATGACGACAAGTTGTAAAGTGAAAGAAGAGGAGGAGCATGATCATGGCAGCGAAGCGATGGAGAAAGGCGACAAACCAGCAGCGGAAGAGGAAGAAAAGATCACTAATGGTCGTCAAGTTTTAATTACCACCTCCAAGACCGAGGAATTGGCAACAAGAGGGGAATCGGCGGCGGCGGCGACTCTGAAATCGTGCTTGGCGTTAGATGTGCAAATCCCTAGGAACAAGAGGAAGCGAGGGGAGCGGAAAGCTGGGCCTGGAACTGGCGGGTGGAACAAGAAATCCTCAGGTGATGATGATGCTCCCCATAATTAACTACTGTTTAAGCTCTAGTTCATCCATGTCCTTCCTCGATGAATACTTTGTTATCAAGAACGTCGTCATGGTTTTCTTTTCACACAGTTGTTAAATCATGGTTATGCTATAGTTTCCCGCCTTTTTTTTCTTTTGTCCTCTTGTATTCCTGAGATCATGGTGGTTTTGAGCCGCCGAAACTTTTACTGCCCCGGGCGGAGAAATCGATAGAATAGAACTGAATTGCCGCCGGATGCTTGTGGCGGTAGGATCCCGACATCTGCCTAACCTAACAGACGCTGGGAAGGGAAAAATAAAAAATGGCGATTGGGCTGGCATAACTTACGTGGTGATTATGGGCCTGGCTCGAATAATAAATCAAACTAATTTGTTTACCAAATATGAAGAATATTCAACGCCTACTAGCTAGGCAACATCCTTATCAATGACAATGAGTAGTATTGTGTAGATGGATTCATCATCATTGACATTCAATTCCAAACCACACACCCTGCCTTAAACAGTTAGAGTGCAGTCATAGACTAGCATTGGGCAATTGGGGGAAGGGAAGGGGACCCCATCATCCCCTTTTGTCCAGTCCAGTCCAATGTTAAATATGGCACACTCATTTTTTAACGTGCAAGGGAAAGAAAGAACCAACCCAACCAACTTGTGGTGTTGTGCTTAAAATCGGCTACTTCTTCCTTCCTTCCCGTGAGGAAGACCAGCCGAGCTTATCCAGTTGCTACTGCTGCAGTAGGAGGAGCCAAAGAGGAAGAAGAAGAAGAAGAAAAAAGGAATAGGAGGAAGAAAGGTTAGTAAGTTTGGAAGCAAGCCAGCATCCACGTGCTTCCCTTTTGCTCACTGCTTTGCTTCTGTTCGTTTGCTTGATTGGTCGGTGAACCGCCGGCGAAGTAGGATCGTCGGAGTACCGGCCCATTGGGTCAACGAGACTAGTTTGCTTTTTTCAGAAAAACAAGCAAGGAAAGGAATGGAAATCCGTTATTTTACTCACAGCCAATGAATTCTGACTACTCTGGGCATATTTTTTTATGTTTGAGTTTGACAGGTGGAATAATAAGAGGAGGAACGGAAAGGAAAGGAACGAATCTGCGCGCGCCTTTTTTCTCAACTCAACTACTCCCGGCCTTTTCGCGTAATCCCCAAATTATTATTTTTTATTTTCTTCTGCTTGGCGAGTTTATCGGATCTGGAAAACAATTCCGTTAATCCAATTATTCTTCTCTTTCTTTTCCCCTTCCAATTTCCATCTCTTTTCTCCGCCATTCCCCCCAAAAAAGAAAGCCTCGCCATTGTTGGAGGTGGAGGTGGAGGGGTGGGAGGAGGAAGGGGAGGAGTCGCCGCCGGTGACCATGGACAACATAGCGTCGCAGCTGAAGCGGGGGATATCGCGGCAGTTCTCGACGGGCTCGCTGCGTAGAACGTTCAACCGGCAGCTGTCACGGCAGGCGTCGCTGGAGCCTCGGCGGAACAACAGGCGCTTCAGCTTCGGTCGCCAGTCGTCGCTGGATCCCATACGCCGGAGCCCGATCAAGGAGGAGCTGCTGGCGGTCCCGGACAACTTGGACTGCACGATGCAGCTGTTGTTCATGGCGTCCCGTGGCGACGTGCTTGCGGTCCAAGATTTGCTGAACCAAGGGATTGACGTCAACAGCATCGACCTCGACGGGAGGACCGCGCTCCACATTGCCGCCTGCGAGGGGCACGCCGAGGTCGTTAAGCTTTTGCTCAGTCGTAGGGCCAATATCGACGCTCGCGACCGCTGGGGGAGCACTGTGAGTCCCTTATTGCTTCCCTTCTTCAATTTCTGATGGATGCTGGTAATTCGAATGCTTGTACTAAATGGTCGGTAATTTGCACCAGGCTTGTGCTGATGCTAAGTTCTACGGGAATGTAGAAATTTACAACATTCTCAAGGCTCGAGGGGCCAAAGTTCCGGTATTTATCATTTTTCCTTTTAACCCTCTTAGGAATGTAGCTCTGCTAGGCAGATTATGGTAAGTTGGGTAACTTACTGTTCATTTCTCAGAAAACCAGGAAGACGCCAATGGCTGTAGCGAATCCTCGAGAAGTACCCGAGTATGAACTTAATCCCTTAGAACTTCAAGTTCGAAGGTCCGATGGCATCACAAAGGCAAGTGGGAACTGATATGTCTGTTCAATGCATTAGGTGTGAGGATTCCCTCTCAGTTGTGGTGTGACGTCCCATCTTTTCTATGTATGGTCGATTCATGTTGTTGCTACGAAAATGGTGGGTATTTGGTGTTTTGGGTATTCATTCCTTGACGTGTTTTAGTCATTATGGCTTGCTTCTAAAACAGGGTACATATCAAGTGGCTAAATGGAATGGTACAAAGGTTGCTGTAAAGATACTTGATAAGGACTGCTATACTGATCCTGAAAGCATGTACGCGTTCACCTTCTATGTCTCCCTCCCTTTACATGAAGACTTTCAGCTATTACTTGCATAGAAATACAAATGACCATTGATCTTGTATTGCAGAAGCGCATTCAAACACGAACTAACCTTACTAGAGAAGGTTCGACATCCAAACGTGGTTCAGTTTGTTGGAGCGGTTACCCAAAACATACCAATGATGATTGTTGTAGAGCATCACCCAAGAGTAAGTTACTGGTCCTCTATCATTCTTCTTTTAGCTTTCTCATTTATCAATTATTACCAGGTGACGGGGGAAAAGAGCTTGTGAATGTATGGTTCTTTAGCACAAGCATCTATCTTTTTCCTATATCGCAGGGAGACTTGGGAAGTTATCTCCATAAGAAAGGCCGTTTGTCACCATCCAAAACTCTAAGATTTGCCCTTGACATTGCCAGGCATGCCCGATTTGAACTCCTAAAAATGATTCTAAGTAGCCGTTTCTGCGATAAAATTAGAGTTTTTAACCCACTGATCACAGATCTCCCACTTGTACCCAGGAATGGATGATGTACCTTGTAGTCATATTTGCATTTTGTGGCAATCTTCACTTGATTTTAACAGTGTATTTGTATTTTGGTTATCAGGGGTGTGAACTATCTTCATGAATGTAAACCAGACCCAATTATCCACTGCGGTCTAAAGCCAAAGTAAGACAACCAAATGCACAAGCATATTTGGTAGCTGAGTTGTGATATATTCTCAGTGGAATGTCCTATTCTTTAATATCTGAAATTTTGGTAAGGTGCCAGAAACATTATGCTGGATAGTGGAGGCCAGTTGAAGGTTGCTGGTTTTGGTTTGATAAAGCTGTCCCTAATTTCAGTTGACAAAGCTAAAGTTGCGGCAGGGTCTTCATTGGACTCCTCAAGTAAGGAAAATTGTCACGTACCTCTTATATTGGTTCAGTGAAAAAATGAGGCAACTATGATGAACAGTTCCTCCATTGTTATTTTGATTGTTAACTGTGTCTGTAACAACAGGTCTTGACTTGAAGTGCTTTTTATGTATCTACAGATGTATATATGGCGCCTGAAGTTTATAGAGATGAAATTTTCGATAGAACTGTGGATGCTTACTCTTTTGGTGTTATGTTATATGAGGTACCACTGTTTCCTATTGCTATTGCATTCTATAATGAACGCACCGTTACTTCGTAATGGTTTTATCAGTAGGCTTAATGCTTCAAGTCGTAAGGATGATATTCTACTATGTTTTGCAAACACAACCTCTTTGACAGTTCTTGTTTATTTCTTGATGGGGGATAGATGATCGAGGGAGCGTACCCATTCTACCCCAAGCCTCTTGCAGAGGCTGTTAAATTGATGGGTGTCGAGGCAAAGAGACCGGCGTTTAAGCTCAAGTCCAGACATTATCCTCCAGATATGAAAGAGTGAGTTCATCACTATCGTAATATACTAAGTTACTCTAAAGAGTCTATACACGAGTTCTGGTGATTTACGTGTTCACAGAGTTACTCTAGCCATACTCATATGTCATTGTTCCTTAACTCTAGTAATGAATCTCTTTCAAGGGGATAACATTCCCCTCTGTGCCGAATCTGTGAAACAGATTGATTGATGAATGCTGGCATCCTGAACCAGTTGCCAGGCCAACGTTTTCTGAGATAATCGTGCGACTGGACAGAATAGTTTCACACTGTTCGAAGCATGGATGGTGGAAAGACACTTTTAAGCTTCCCTGGTATGCCTCTCTCTCTCTCTGAACACATTTCATCCATAGTAGTCATATATGCAAATGCAGCCTTCTTCACGCTTACGCGGGTCATGGCCCCCTCTCTAAGCTACATAACCTTCCTATTTGAGTTCACTCTTGCAGGAAATAAGAGGAAGAGGCATGGGTTAGTAGAAGGAGGGGACACGGTGAAAGAAAGCAATGGTGAATGAGCTGACATTGATGGAAAGAAAGGGGGGAAGAAGCTTCATGTACTACACAAGGCCATGAGTATATATATGTATAAGTTCTAGAGAGACGGTGGATGTTCGATCCGAGCAAAGAAGCAAGCAAAAGGCGGCGAGAAGACACGTTACACCAATCTACTTTTCAAGTTCAAACTGCATTCCATATGTATTCAAAAGATTTGCGTACATAAAGTACATCATTGTGTAAAAAAAGAAGGAAACAATGGCCGTTGTTGTAAAATATGTTCATTGTGATTATAGAAAAAGGTGGTCTTGATAGTGGTAGTTATATGTTTGGAGCGGAATCAATTTCATTTTTCAGGTAATTACTACTATAGTTGGAGAATGATCACTCATGAAAAGCTTATAAGGTGTTTTATTTACGACTAAAGGAAGAGTCTTGATGGTGGTAGTGATATGTTTGAAGCGGATTCAACTTCATTTTTCAGGCAATCACTATTTACGACTATAGTTGGAGAATGATCACCCATAAAAAGTCTATAAAGTGCTAAGTATAGAAAGATTCTCCATCCGTTAATAAGATGTGAGAGCCCTCGTCTAGAATGCTATACATTAACAAGAAAATTTTAAAATATGTAGATCTTGACTTTTACGGATGCCATATTCTAATAGAACGTTAATCATTCTTCAATAAATATCAATTAGGTGCTGCCTGAATTTTATCCAAATAAATTATGTGATAATGATGCAAATCTTATAGTAACCATCCATCATCAAGGGTTATAATTCTTTAATGGCCATTTGTGTGTCTCCATAGTAATTACAATTCCGGCATCCAAATGATTCCTTCGTTACCGTTTACTTGTCTCTCTGCTCATTGTTGCTTAGCTTTCACAATGCCTTCTCAATAACCTCAACTTGCTTTGTATAATTCAAACCTCCACTTGCTCCAACTATTAAATTACTTCGTACAAATTGGATTTTTCCATCAAGTTGAAGATACAACTGCATGGGCTTTTTTGAACAGAATAAAAACATTAGGGATCTTGTGAGAAGCTTTACAAATTTAATGGGATTACATCTACAAAACAATGATGTGGATATTGAGAATAACAACAAGGTGGATGATTAGATTACATTATCTCAAAGTTGATGATGCTTATTGCTTCAAACATCCCACAACTAACTATAATTCTCAAGAGTTATTGGATTGACACGGCATGGTACATGTGTGATGGTATGATTGTGTCTACTCATATGTTTGATTAACGAAGAAATATCATCGATCAATTATCTTTTGATATACACGATTGAATTTTAAGTGAAACGTTTGATTGGTGGCGATCTAATCGGAATTTCAATAACTTAACAAGTCTTAAGCAAAAATATGCAAGCGTAAGAGGGTATATATGACTACCCTCTACTCGTGTAAGTCGAGAAAGGCTGAGAAAATAGTGGTAAAAAGAAGAAGAAGAAAAAAACCCGCTACAAAGTCTTTGAATTTCATACTAACCTCATAACTTCGTCTTATATAATTTTTGCTCATTTTACTACATATAAAATATCGACTAAATCAACTAACCGACATAAATCCCAACCTATATTACTTGATATTGAAAGTGCCCTAATCCCTCTTCCTCCTCTCACCTATATGTAACCCAATTACTTGTTTCTTTCTAGTCTTCTTCACCTCTACATTCTATCCATCAATTTGGAACCACAAGTCTCGAGCACCTTAGCCCACCCCCCCAATATTTAAGAAGGTTCATGAAACATCTCATTACTTTGAATTTGGAAAAAGACATTTATACCCCGGGGTATAATTAAAAATCTCAAATAACACAACTTTAAATAAAATATCAAACTCAAATATCTTAATATCTCAAATCAAAGCCCTAAATATGTGGGGAAAACTCAAATCGTCCAAAAGAAATGACTCTCCAGTCTTTGACTCTTAACCATAAATTCTTAATAACTTGAAAAAGTTCTTCGATGCTTACTCTGACGCCTGACTCGACATCTTTCAGCAACGGTGGTGTTGAGCTCCTCTAGCTTGCTGATCACGGACTGGCAGGTTAGGATTTCCTCCTCTACGATCTGGTGAGTGAGTTGGGGTCAGTCTACGCCCTTACGATTTAAATCGCTAGAATTTATTACTTAAGAACTTAACTTAAACTGGTGGATGATACTTCCACTCTTTAAAATTTTATTCTTAAAAGTCAAATCTCAACTTAACTATATGACTGACACTGGGATCCCTCACTAGCTAGTTCGGTTGCCAACTCATACGTATGAGAAGCCATCCAGGCTTTCCTTAAAATTATCGTGGAAGGCTCTTCTTCCACGATTCTCAAGAGCATAACTGTTGCTCATCTTAAAATATCTCAAGAGCATAATTGCTGCTCATCTTAAAAGTCTCAAGAGCGTAACTGTTGCTCTGTCTGAAAAACTCAAATGGCAACGGACTGGCGCTAGTGACTAAACACTTAAAACAACTTCACCTTCTTGAAGGCGAGTTACTTCTTAAAAAGAACTTGTTTCTTAAACTTTAACAATGACCTATAAATGTAAAGCTTTAAAGTAAATAATCACTCATGCACATTCACTTCAAACATAGCTCAAACAAAATCACATATCATCAATCATAAGCACAATCAACCAACGACAATCACTTCATCAAAATAGTTAAAGCTTGGAATTCTTGAAAGAACACGTAAGGCGTAGAATTTACCCCTTTACCCTCCCTATCACTACCTCGGCTCCTACTTCGCCGGAGCCACATCCGCCACCAACAAGATCCAAGCCATTCCCGCCGTCGTCATTCACTGGTTGTTCTAACGCCGACGCGCGATGGGGGAAAGTAACGTCGGCGCAATGGGAAATTGATTTAGGGTTTCATCTACTGCTGCGATGGGGGAAGCTGACGACGGCGCGCGACGAAGAAGAAGAACTATAGAAGGAGGATTTGAGGGTTTCGTTGTCTGCTGCGATAGGGGAAACTAACCCGACAATTTTCCAATTTTGTGGGCTAGGGTTTGGTTCTGGGTCGGGTTGGGTTAATGGGTTGGGTGTGTGATATGGCAAGTTTAGTGACGTGGCAGGTCGGGTTTGACTATTTCTGGCCCAAAATGGCGCTGACTAGGCACTCCCGTTAGCCACGTCAGCACATAACGGACTCCATTAACGGAGTTGGACGGAGACTAACGGAGAGTGACTAAATATGACCCGTTTTAGTAATTCGAGTGACCAAATTTGATATTAATTTTTTTTAGTGACTAAACATGAGACAATTTAGTAATCATAGTGACCAATTGTGGCATTAACCCTTTACCATCTCATCAATGTTTAAGTAGAGTTTTCGTAAAGTTAGTTCATTTTTACATGATAGTTTAATCAAATGTGATAGATGTTTCGTAAGATTAGTTATTTTTTACAGAACAATTTAATCAAATGCTCATGTTTCATTACGATATTTTCTTAATAGACCACATATTATGAAATATGTGTGTGACACTATTCTATTACAGTTACATAAATTATAATTACAATATATAAATGTTACGGGGATAGCTATTTCTTATATATCAATTCAAAAATCCAACTATGTAAGCCTTCATTATAAAAACTTGGGCGGGATAGTTATTTATTATGTATAAATTAAAAAAAATTATTATGTAAATCTACCTTTTTTATAAATTTGAATGAAAATTCATGTTTTAACTAAATTGTGTGAATCATCTCATCAATTTGCATCACACAAATCCTGTGTACGGTAAAATATTTTTTACATAATAGTTTTATCAAATGCAATATTTTTTTATAGAATAATTCCTCTATTATTTAATAAAACTCATTCATTATTAACTAAATTATTCACCATTGCATTATGCAAAGGTTCCATATGATCAGCTAACTTTTGCACAACAGTTTAATCAAATGTGATACTTTATATAACAAGATTTTATTATTAGGCCACCTGTTTATGTTATATTTATGTAACAATATTCTATTACAGGTCAGTAGTGTAAACTATTTCGCTAAGGTTCGAATAAGAGAAAGTTCCCGCACTACTTTGACTCTCCCGAGATAGAGCTTTCAAAGCGAGATCGTTCCAATGCCTTAGTGCTTCTAGCAAATAAGGTCTCATGGTAGTCGATCACATTAATTTGCATGTCTTCTGGCGGTGATGGGCTTCCGAAGAATGAATAAGGATAAATTAATAGAAAAAAATTTAGGTACGAGATGAACGCTTTTTCGTTCACTATGACTGGATGTGTACTCGCGTGATTGATTGATGAACGGGGGAATTTCGTGCAATTTTAGAGAGACGGGAAAGTGAAAGCCTGTGGGGTTGCTTTTGTACCTGGATAACTAGCATCGAAAACGCTTTTATATTTGATGGTTTGGTGTTTTGATGATCCCTAATGGACAGTTCCAATAAGATTCTTTCTTGAACAAAAATCCATTTTTTGATTTCTTTCATTTATTCCATGACCGAAACGTGGGGATACACGTTACACCATGATAATACATTACGTATACTTTATGGATGGATAATTATTTCTTATATATTAGTTAAACACATGGTTTACATGAGTCTCCCATAATGATTAAGACACCATGTAAAATTTGCGGAAAAATAATTAACACTTATGTACCAATTAAATAAACATATTATGTAAGTATTCCATAATGATTAAGACATTGCAGAAAGCTTATGGAGGGATTGTTCTTGCTCATGTATCACTTAAACAAAAGTATGACTTATGTCATTCGTAATGATTAAGGCACAACGTAAAAATAATAGAGGTATTTACCCGAATAATTTTGTGAGTTATTTGTTTGTAGTTGAATCATTATATAAGTGGATAGAGTTTAAAATATAATGAGTTCTTACCGTGATGAAGTGCGGGCAAAAACTAGTAATAAATAAATAAACAGCAAAGCAATTAAAAGACGACACTTATGTTAGCCAAAGCCAACCACTTGCTCCGTTCAACGAACCCAACAAAACCTCTCTTACAGGACAAACAAGAGGAGGAGAAGAAGCAATTCAATTGGACTCTCTCTCTCTCTCCCTCTCTTCCTTCCCATTTCCTCTTTGCTATCTCAGCCTTCCTGCAGGAGACGATCGACGTACGGCAGCGGTTGAGCGATGGACGGCCTGATTCCACTGGTGTGCCGGGCGTTCAACAAGATAAAAACCCGGCGGCATTACGAGTGCCTCTCGTCCGGCGCCGCTGAGTCCTACAACGCCGCTGACCACGTGCCGTCTCTCTACACCAATATTCCTCCCCGCTCGGGCTTCCAGAACGGCCGCGACTGTCGTCGGTCCATGTCCACGGCGGGAGATTTTGCGTCCGAGCGTCAGAACTTGTCGGCAATCGTGAGCAGGAGCGTTGTCCCCGGCGGCAAGCAGCAGGAGATGGTGAGGTTTCGGAGGCACCGGCGGCTGTTTAGCTGCGTAAGTCTCGTACAAGAGTAGTAGTTGCATTAATTAATTAATTAATATAGCATCTTTCAATAACACATAAAAATAAAATAAAGAAATGGAGCATCTTAGCCTCCAAATTGTTAGCTGGCCGCCGGCGGTTGGACCTTCTCAACCTAACACTTTGAAAAATGGACACTTAGAATCATCTATGCCAAATGTTTTTTATTTATTTATTTTCGAGTGATATCAAGAGAATAAGAGTTATACAAACAAAACTATTCAGAAACCCCTATAAGCAACATACTAGTGAAGTCAATCTTAATTCATTCGAATTGTCCGTTTCAGTAGTTATGTTATCATGTATTGTTTTTCTGTTAATTTGATGGTTAAGTTCGTTGATTGTGTATTTTGAGTTTGATTTTGTTATAGGATGGTTTTGCTTTTCATGTTTTGTTAATGCGGTGTATATATGTGTACATGTTTCGTGCTTGTAATCTCGATACAAGTACAATTGTAATATAATCTTATTACATTCTTCATTGTCAAAATCAGACTACACAGTTTCATGGGAATAGATTGAGTTGACATAAAACTTAAACGAGTCACGAAAATTAAGTAATTATATACACTATTTTTATCGGATCAAATTCATTTCATAATTTTAGAATATTTCTTGATTTTGATTCATGAGTTGACATATGTCAAATTTTATTGTCATATACGACTGCCGAACAAAACTTTAGCTTTACATTTGAAGTAGCTCACCACTACATTTTGTATGAATTATGAACAATTGAGTACAATAGAATTATTTAGTTAGCAAATTAGAGTAAAATAAAGGAAACCAACTTACTTTTGGATAACTATGGCCAGTAGAGGTGGCAAATGGATTGGATCCATGGATTGGTGGATCCATGGATAAAATGGATTGGATTCAATGGATTGGTGGATTCAGGGATTGGATCAAGTGGATTGGTGGATTATTCATGAATCCAAATGACATCATCAATCTTGAACCATTATGTAAAATGTGAAAAGTTTAGGTACTAAAATGTCATAATGAAAAATTTTAGGTACCAAAATGTAAATTTTCAATGATATTTTTTGGATAAAAATTAAAATTTTGGTACCAAAATGTAAAATATAAAAATTATAGGTACCAAACCGTAATTTGTTATTTGGATTCATGGATCAACCAATTCAATTGGATTTGGATCAAATGGATTAGATTTAAATGGATTGAATTAAGTGGATATTTTTAATGAATTGGATTGAGAATTACCACCTCTAAGGGTATAATTCATAGATAAAGCAAAACAATTAAGCGAAGAAACTTTATGAAACATTTCCCATTTGCCTAAGCCGTATTCGTTTAGGTTTCACATTTCTTTCTTGTCGTACAAAGATAAGGAATACCCTAATAGTAATCTTTTTTTATTTTTTTTTATTGGTATTGAACATATAACAACACTATATAACCAAGTGAGGTAAATATCGAATCACACCTGAAATACGAAGCAGTACAACAGGGAACATGCTTCTTTCCCCATCTCAGATTCCTCTCTCTCTCGACTACCTTAAACCCTTCCCACGACAGACCACAACAACGCCATGGACGGACGGCCTAATCTCTATGGCATATCGTGCCCTCAAGAAGAGCTACAAGGCTCATCGCCACTACGAAGTGCCTATCCACATCAGAGTTCCAGAAAGTCACCAACGGAGGCCAACATCAGCGTCATACCTCAGCAGGAGATTTTGCTTCGTTGACAACAACCGTGAGCAAGAGTTACTTGAAGAAGGTCGTCGCCGACAGAGCTATGAGGAAGCAGCAACAGGAGATCGTGAGGTTAGGGTCCAGCAACCGGCAGCTGTTTAGCTGCTCCATAGAAGAGTAGTGTATGTAATATAATAGAGAGCAGAGCAGTCCTTTAGTTTGTTATTCTTTCTTCTTTTACCCCATCGATGTAGATGTCGTATGGCTATTCAGTTTGAAAGTGAATATTATGAAAGTTTCAATTTTTGCTTGAAGAAACATAAGACTGCTACTCATATCTAAGATGATTGAAAATCTGAGGAACAAATACAGTGTGCGGTCTATAACAGCAGAAGATTACAACAAGTTGCTGCTTTGAGAACTACTACAATTGACAGAACAATGAGGCTGATTATGAATCTATACCTTGAACAGTTGGTTTTTGTAACATTGTGTCCAATCAGAGTCATCCGATTGAAATAGAGCATCACCATCACGGCTTATGTTCATAGACTCTGCAGGAAGAAGAAGACCATCTTTAGCTTTCCCATCTAACACACGATGTTTTCCACCAGAGGAAGTTTCAATGCATACATCCGATGTTCGACTGTTCTCTATATCGAGATCGAGCTCACGAGTTTGAAGAGGTTCATCCTCTATATCCTCTTCTTCGTCGGATAAACACTTGCAACAGCAATCCAGCTCATCCATCTCAAAGATCCTACTCACTAACCCGTCTCTCCACGAGATTCTGACTTCAGAATGCGTCATATCGTCGAAAGTGGAAATGGAAAGCCGGGATTCCTTGATGTCAAGAGGGTTCTGAAACTGTGAAAGATCAACAACAGAATTGGAAGCTGTAGTTGGCAAATTAAACTGGAACGATGAACTAGCTGGCCAATGTTGATCGACTGAATCCAATTCGAAGCCCCAGCCCTGATTGTATTTCTTGCCTTTCTCTCCAGAGTCAGATTCTGGGGTTTGTAATAAATTGACACTGCACAACAAGTCCATGGAGAATCGAGACCCATCTTCTCCACCACAGCCAGCGATTTTCTCTTCTAGAGGAGAAGTTTCCATATCAGATGATGTCACAGAAGCACGTTTCATTCTCCTCTCTGTGTGCTCTTTTGACAGATCCTGTGCTCCGCCATTTCCAGAACTACACTCATTGTCCTTCTCAACCGGCGACAAAAGCCAATGCATTGAAGCCTTGATAGGCAAATTCGACGGTGAAAGATTGATCCCATTACCATCTATTATAGCATCATCAGCTTCATGATCATCGTTGATGTCAAACTTATCAACAGATTTAGCTTCCCCTACAACAAGTAAACCCCTAGGCCTACATTTTCTCTTGTCAGTAACCCCAGAAAGAAGATGCCCAGCACCATAACAAACTGGTGTAGCAGTAGTAGCAACTTTGGTGGCAGCAGTTGAAAGCGCTGACGATTGACATTGTTGTTGTATCTCCGGGGATATCGAGGCATGAAGTGGAGGCGTTTTTGTGTTGCTGCTCTCTGAGTTCGAATTCAAGCTACTGCCTTTCTTACACCTATCCACTGTAACATCCAAACCAGACCCAGCTACAATCAGTCTCAAAGGAGTCGAATTTGATTCCTCCACAATACAACCTTTATCTCCAGATCCAGAATTTTCCAACTTGCTCACAGGATTCCTCACAGTATCCAACCTCGAAACCCCAGGAATAGGTTTAGGGTTCTTCCCGGATTGCCGCTTGTACAAGCATGCAGAAGGGATCCCCTTAACTTTCTCCCGATCCCCCCTACTGGGTCGCGAGATAGGCGCCGATTTAGGGGTTTTGCAGTGCATTGATTTGACTTTCACCGGTCTGTGATGATTACCGTTGTTTCTATTTCCGACCTGGGGTTTTGAAGTGGAAACAGCAGAGTGATTGAGAAAGAACCTGAGACAGCCTTTAGGAGCTTCGATGGAGGAAACCGAAGAAGAAGAAGAACCAACTGTCACAATGCTGCTATTGACATCAGTGAAGCTGCCGCCATTGCTGAGATCTTGAAATGGGTTTCTATTATTACTGCCACTGCTGTTCCCCTGTTCTTCTCTTCCTTCTTTCTTCTTCTTCGTCGACGAGTTGGAGGTATTGGAGTTTCCTTCCCGCCGGTGGATTCGGCTCCAGGAAGTTGACGACAACACTGGCTGCTTCATTCGTGCGAGAATCACAGCGAAAGATTGTAACTTTTTTGGGATGACGGATGTGGGAAGGAAGAAGAACTTTGTCTGTGTGTGCCGTTGGTTTGGGATTTTGGGGGAAAGTGGCAGAGTGGGGTTTACTGGAAATTTGAATTTCGGGCCATTAGATTTAAGTCCGGGAAAATTAATAAATTATGGGCTTATTTAGATTTGAACAGGTCAGGGGACAGGGAACATGGGAATAGTTCCGATTCAGTCCCTGAAGTTGAGGATGGTAGCTATTCGGTCCTTAATCTGTTAGATTAGTTTCTTTTGGGGTCTCCAATTGAAATTGCGGGGTTAATAGTGTGGTTGGTCTTAGGTAACCAGTTCGTGGAGCGAGAGCGGAAGCGGGTGCAGGAACGAGAGCGCGAGAACGTGTATTTTTTAAGAACTCAATATTGAGAGCGCGAGGAGAGCGTTAATATTATATTATTTTTAATATATATTAATTATAAAATTTAAAATATAGTTAACATTAGGTTTTTACTAGGTTAACTTGTTAATAAAATTCAATTAAATATTATATAAATATAATAACATATGTTAAAGATGGTGTTAGGTTTACTAAATCAGCATAAATCTAATTAATTAAAAATAATTCTTCCAAAAATTGGTTTAAGAAACTAGAAATAAAAGTGGATTCCAATTAATTAAAAACTACAATTCCTTCTCTTCTTACGCAAACAGAACTTTTCTAGCCGTTGTGCTTTCCCAGACTTGTTCTGGATGTTGAACCCCCTCCATTGATGAGATGATTTGGTTCTCCTTCTCGGATACTGAAGTGACGGTGAAGATGGATGATCCTGTTTCCTTTGAGAGAAGGTCTTGGTACCTTATTAAATGCAAGAAGGAGGTGTGTGGGTTACTCCATGCCAGCTGTGTGTGCCCTGATATGATTCAACAGCTGCAACAAAGGGATGTAGGGCTCATCAATTACTCTCCCTCTCTGGTGGATGGAAGTTATTGTCCCTCTGTTACTGAAGGTATAAACTCACCAAATGCAGATACCAGTCTTTTCAAGCCACCATTACTGAAGGATGGAAGGTGTTTCGAGCCACTAAAAGCAGCAGGGGAAGCCAAAAGCTCTAAGCGAAGGTTAACAGCAATAAAACCTGGTCCAATCAAACCAACTACCCTATTAAATGAAGCTGTTGGAGAGTGGAGAAATGCTGGAGGAGTTATAAGAAAGGGAATACTGCCATCAAACATTAACATCCATACTCAAAACCTACCTTTCTGTTGTGAGCATACTGATACCCTCTTCTGTCAAAACCCACCTTTCTGTTGTGTGCTTACTGATACCCTCCTCTGTCTTGAGCTAACAAAAATGAGTGTTAACGATCTGATCACTCAAGCTGGGGAATGGGATCTGGAAATGGTTCCGGATGAAGAAAGACTTACCAATCGGTTCTCCCTGGTTGTCAAAGTTTTCTCTGAGCGAAGTATCAGCCTAAGGGCTTTGAGAGGTATGATCAGAAATGCCTGGGTGGATAATCCTAAGCCAAAGCTCCGGGAGATGCCCAACATCCAACCAGTCTATGAAAATGTCTTCACTCTGGATTTTGAGAAGATGGAAGAAATGGAGGCGATTTGGCTGGAGCGACCCTGCCCCATTTCTGGTACTTTGATGCAAGTGAGGAAGCTATCGGGCCTGGAGAATGCAAGAGAAGTCAGCTTCAGGATGGTGGACTTCTGGATCCAAATCCATAATCTCCCAGAAGCATACAGATCTGAGAACAACATTGCCATGGTTAGCAGAATGTTTCACAAAATCATCGAGATTGACCGGGCTGCTCTTCAATCTCAAATTTACAGGAAGTTTGTGAGGATGTTCGTACAGGTGGACACCTCAAAACCGATTCCAGATGGGTTTTACATTCGCCATCAACAAAAAAGAACTTGGATTGAATTCAAGTATGAGAAACTCTACTCACTGTGCTACCACTGTGGAGGAATCGAGCACACCAGATTGGAGTGCGATCTGAGAAGAATCAGCGAAGAAAACGGAGATCAACCGTCAATGGTGCAGAGATGGGGACCGTGGACGAGGGCCAGCTCTCCTCTCTTCTCACCTAGGACGATCCAGCAGCAGGAGGTTGAGGCTGTGGTGGTCACAGATGCGGCATCGACATCTGAATCTCCAGGAGGATCCCGGGTCCAGTCGCCGGCGAACACCATGAACAGAGCGATCTTCGCTCAACCTCAGATGGTCCCACAATCCTTGGTAACGACGCCTGCCGTCCATCAATCCCCTCACTCAAGTTTCGCTCAGAACTTCCCTCTTTCTCCATCAGTTAACCCATTCCAAAATCCCTACCTCTCATCTCCTTCTCCACAAAGCTACCCCGCCTTTACCCTGAACTGTGAGCAGTTCGATTCCCCGAACCAAGGAGATAGAGTTGCTCGAAACCTTTTTGGTTTTCCCCAAACTCCACCAATTCCTTTCTCCTGTAACCAGATTCCCGTCCTTCAGAACCCTCCACCAGGCTTTGGGTTGTCTAACCTAAGCCCATTACCCTTCCAGGCCCAGACCCACTTTACCTTCAACCACAATTACTTTCCTGGGCCAAGTGCAACTCATTCTCCTGCTGGAGCCCAACAGCGTGGCCACAGGTCTTTCTCTCGCAATGGCAGCCCAATGATCCAAAAAAAGAAAAGAAAGACATCTGGCTGTCTTTTAAAAGAACAAGGGGAAGAGCAGTCTGATGCCAAACAAGGTGGAGCTGAAGAAAAGGTTGACAATGAAGATACAGTTTTCCCGCCTGGGTTTGAACCCAATCTTGCTGTGGTTATGGTGGCCGATTCCAAGCCACCAGGGGTCCCATGAATGCTATTGTGTGGAACTGTCGGGGATTCGGGCAGACCCCCACAGTTCGTCATCTCAGGAAGTTGGTAAAGAAACATCAACCATCTTTACTGTTTCTGTCCGAGACAATGAAGGAAGAATCCTATATGAAATCCAAGAGAAGGAGTATGAGATTTGCTGATGAGTTCCATGTCAATCCGGTCCAAACGGCAGGGGGTTTAGCTCTTTGGTGGGTGGCGGGGTTACCTATCACAATTCTGGATAGTAGCTGTTTTTTTATTGATGCTTTTGTTGATGTTAATGGGGGCTTTTTTATCACTTTTGTTCATGCCCCGTCTGATCCTGCTCGGCGTAGGGATTTTTGGGATCAGATTAGTAGTCTTAGGACTAGTGTTGATGATAAATGGGTGGTTATTGGGGATATGAATGCTTTGCTTTCCTCAGAGGAAAAGAAGGGGGGGAATGTGCCTAGGAACGTATCTACTGTACCCTTTAAAGCTTTTGTTGATGGGAATGGTTTAATGGATATGGGATTTAAGGGCTACCCTTTCACTTGGAAGAATAATCAGGAAGGAACGAGACGTATTGAGGAGAGACTTGATCGTGGTTTGTGCTCTACCTCGTGGTTTACAATGTACAGTAATGCTCTGATTATTCATGAGCTGCCTATTGAATCTGATCATAGTCCTCTGCGATTGGAGTTTGAAGGGATGCGGGGAAAATCAAGGACTCCCTTCCGTTTTGACACTAGATGGTTTCAAAACGAGGAGTGCTTTGAGATTGTGAATCGGAATTGGGATGGCGGAGGCCTTTGTCATGAAAGACTACAAAATTGTAAAAAGGAATTGACCATTTGGGCTAAACAAATGTTCAAAGATCAAAATAGGAGGGCTGAGGACATCCAAAAGAGATTGGTTGACATCCTTCATCTTGACCGATCAGTGGAGGTTGTTGAAGAGGAAAAAAGTCTGATGAGTGAGCTTGCTGCCATTTGGAAGGATGATGAATTATTTTGGAGCCAACGGTCACGTGTGGATTGGCTCAGTGTCGGCGACCAGAACAATAAGTTCTTTCATGCTTCTACCTCTCTTCGCAAGCTTCGAAACAAAATTTCTGCCTTGAAAGATGATTATGGGAACCTGATTACCCAGCCTGATGCTCTTTCTTCTCATGTGATTAATTTCTACAAAAGTCTGTTTACAAAGAAATCAGGGCTTAATGATGGAGCCCTCCAGGACTTTCCGAGGCTGGTTTCACATGATATGAATCTTGATCTTGATAGAGATCCGACTGTTGAGGAGATTCGTGCTGCGGTGTTTGACCTTGGCCCTACAAAATCACCAGGTCCTGATGGTTTTGCTGGATCGTTTTACCGCAAGTTTTGGAGTAAAGTTGGTCCTGATTTCTGCAGTGAAGTCATGAGTTTCTTCAGAACCTCTATTATGCCTCAGGGATGGAATGATACTCATATTGCCCTTATTCCCAAGGTTCTTGCTCCGGAGTCTATTTCCCAGTACCGACCCATTAGCTGCTGCAACTTCAGATACAAGATCATCTCTAAAATTCTTTCAAGTCGAATGAAGAAGTGGCTTCCGGGTTTGGTCTCCGAAATGCAGGCAGCGTTTACAGGTGGGAGACTTATCCAGGATAATGTCATTATTGTTCATGAGATGCTGCATAATTTCAATAATCGACGTTATGGTGATTGGGACATGATGGTGAAATTGGATATGAGAAAAGCATATGATCTTGTTGACTGGGATGGTCTCGATTCTATTCTGCATGCTTATGGGTTCTCTGAGAAATGGCGGGGCTGGATTCGAGAATGTACCAGGACAGTAAAATTCTCTATCTTATTGAATGGGAGCCCTACTGAGCCTTTCTCTCCATCCCGAGGGATTAGACAAGGTGATCCCATCTCTCCCTTCTTGTTCATCCTTATGTCTAACGCCTTGTCTTTCTTAATTGAAAGAGGGATCTCTAAAGGTGATATTAGAGGTATCAAGCTCAACCAGAATTGCCCCAGAATTTCTCACTGTCTTTTCGCGGATGACACTGTCATTTTCGGCAAAGCCAGCGTATCGGAAGCTGACAGGATCAAGGCCATCATTGAGATTTATGGAGGCACAACAGGTCAGGAGATCAATGCCTCCAAATCGTCTATTTTTTTCAGCAAGAATACTCCCCATGCCATTCAGAATCTTGTGAGCACCAAGTTCGGATTTCCGTCTGCAGTGTGCCATGATAAATATTTGGGAGTTCCAACAGAATGGGGTAGATCCAAAAAAGAAACATTTAGATTTCTTTTGGAGCGAATGGAGAAGAAAGGTGAATCTTGGAAGAGCCTCATGTTATCACCAGGAGGGAAAGAAGTTCTGTTAAAAGCAGTGATTCAAGCTTTGCCGACGTACATCATGAGCGTCTTCTTGCTCCCTCTGAACTTAACAAACAAAATGGATTCGATCCTGAAGCGTTTCTTCTGGTCTGGTTCCATGAAGAAGAGGGCTATTCATTGGTGTAAAGCAAGGGATTTGGAAATTCCGAAAGATGAAGGAGGACTGGGGTTCAAGAATTTTCACCTCTTCAACCTTGCTCTTATTGGTAAGCAGGTTTGGCGTCTCTTTGATAACCCCGATGCCTTGTGGGCAAAGCTTTTGAAGGGACTTTACTTTCCCAATGGTGATGTGTTTTCGGCAGCAAAGGGGAGTAAGAGTTCATGGATTTGGAATGGCTTTTGCGAGGCTAAGGAGAAGATGAAGAGCGGTTTGATTAGAGGGATTATGTCAGGGGAGGATTCTTCTTTCCATTGCGACCCTTGGCTTCCTTCCATTCCAGGTTTTAGCCTCTCTCCTTTGGGTTTGGAGCCATCAAAAGTCAGTGATTGGATTGATCAGGATACTCGGAGCTGGAAAATGGATGATATCAGGAATCTTGTGCCCGAGGAGATTGCCCTTGCTATTGCCCGTGTCCCGATTGGGCCATGTACTGCTCATGATAGATGGATTTGGAGAGGTACGGAATATGGTGGTTACAGTGTTAAGTCTGCCTATCGAATGTTTCGGGAGAGTCGAGATTCTGCCTCGCATACTGCCGTGGTGTCTTCTTCTCGTCCAAATAGGGACGATTGGAAATGGTTGTGGGATCTCAAGTTGCCCCCTAAACTCCGGTTTTTCATTTGGAAGAGTGGTAAAAATGCAATTGCAACACGAGCGAGGCTTTTCGAACACAAATGTGCTCCTAATCCTTTGTGCCCGCTTTGTGAGGAACACAACGAGACCATCTTGCATTGCTTGTTCCATTGCTCCAAAGCTTCCGCGACTTGGTCTCAAATGGGATTGGTGCATGTTCTTCCTGCGGCTGACTCAAGCTTTGCAGTGTGGTTTTTTGACCTCAAAGATCGAATGAATGATGACCAGATTACCAAGATTGTTTGCACTCTGTGGAATATTTGGCTTGCTCGAAATGGTTTGGTCTTTGATGGTCGGGCGTTCTCTCCGCCCTCTGTGGCAATTTTAGCTGATCGAGATGTCCGGAGCATGCAAGAAGCTAGGATCTCATCCTCAGGTTCTTCCTCTTCAAGGGCAGCTAATTTGTCGTCTCAGCCTGAGAGTTCTCGGTCGACGACCTTATCACCGCCTGGTCCTTTCAGTAAGGTTGTGCATTGCGATGGTTCCTTTGTTTCTGATGCACAGGTGGCGGCTTATGGGATTGCTATTGCTAACTCCCACGGTCAGGTTATCGACGGAAGGGCTGAGAGATTCTTTTGTTCCTCTCCGATTCAGGCAGAAGCTTTTGCAATTCTCAATGCAGTTATCTTGGCGGCCCGGGATCCAGTCCCAACATGTATCCGGTCTGACTGTCAGAGGCTTACGATTGCGCTGAGACAGGATCCGAGCCTTTGGCCTTGGCAGTGCAGGGCAACCCTTGCCCGTGTGGTTTCCATTCTTTGTGTTTCTCCCTGGATCTCGATCGAGTTTGTTCCCCGTCGACTCAATTTGTTGGCTGATTGGATCGCAAGGAACTCTCGTCTTGATCTTCTTCCTCCGGAGTGGACTGTCATCGCTGACCTTGTAGCTCCATTATTGTAATTGTAATTCTTCCCTCTTGGTTTGGGTTTGGAATGAAAGGAATGATGTTGGTTGTCAAAAAAAAATTACGCAAACAGCTCCACCACCACTTATCCCTTATCTATCCCACTGTTTAAGAAAGGATTTATCTTCTGGCATACTTCTTTTCGCTCAAAACAACGACCACCACCAAAATTTTCATCCTCTACTTCCAATCTTTGGTTGACCAAATATACATCGCCATTCCCCTGTCTCGTTCTTTTCATGTTCTCTGCCTTCAGTTAGCGAGTGAGTGATCGATCGAGAAGGAGAAGAAGAGACTACTCTCTCTCGCGATGAGACTGCGCCTATCTTCGTGTTCCTGGAGCCGCATCCGCCCTTTTCTCCTATGATTTTTTGAACCTTTTGATTCCCGATTTTCGATTTAATTAGTGTAGCGGTTAGCTGTTTAATTTGTTGTTGCGTGAATAAGAGCTGCCTATGGACATCGAAGAGTAGGGTCAGAGTGGGGTCGATGGTTGCATGAATAGAAGCTGCCTATGGACGACAAAGAGCGGGGTCGGAGTGGCGTCGATGGGGTGATGTGGCCAGAGCTGGTGATGAAATTCACTGTTCTGGTGGCGTTAGTCTTCTGGTTTTGAGGAGAAGTCGCGCTCCCAAATTAAAATATCGCGCTCTCGCCAAAAATAGTTCGCGAACTTTCCCCGAACTCTCCATAAATCGCGTTTTGGCGTTCTGGAGCGGGAACGTGGACAGTGCAATGGCGAATTGGGTGACCTAAGGTTGGTCACTGAAATTGCCAAAAAAGTTCAAATTTGGTCACTCGAAATATTTAAATCCATTGGTTGTACTTCAGTTTACTGAAATCGTTCACGTTTGGTCACTCTCCGTCTAATTCCGTTAACTTTTGCATACGTGACGATCAACTCTATAAGTTGACCTTTAAATGTGTGACGTGACAATTTAAAAATCCCACTTTGAAATCTTCCTCCACTTCAAAGCGAATTATCAAACCATGTCGGAGAGCTGCAACTCCCGCCATTTCTCATGACTGGTGAAATCCTGCCTCCCAAATCCAACCCCCCACTCCCCTCAAAATCCTTCCACCACCCCATCTCCGCCGCCACCACGCTTTCCTCTCTCCCCGACGACCAATGTAGTCAAAAGCGCAATTCTAAGTAGAAACATTTTGATGACCTAGAATCGTAAAATAGTAAGATTTTAAGTTTTAAAGCGTAGATTTTGACTACATTTATAAGAGAAAAGTGTGATTCTACTTAGAAGCGCTTTGGTGACTTAAAAGTGTAAAAGCATAAGTTTTTAAGTTTTAAATCGCGATTTTGACTGCATTGCCGACGACCTCCTCCTCGATTAACTCTCCTGCCTCCCTTCCGCCTCCTCTCTACTGTCTGTCGTCGCTGGTCCCACTTCCTCGACTCCGCCGTCTCCGCGGCCTCTCTCCCCTTCCAATCTTTCTCTCCGTAATTTTCGCCACGCCAGATTGGCCGCAATGGGGCCCACAATCTACATCCTTGCTCGGGCCCACACTTTACGCTGCCACATCTGGACCAACACCGTTTCCTCCATCTCCCACATGGATTCCCCCGGGAAGAAATTTGCCTCCGCCGTCGTATCGGGAAAGATCTACGTCGCCGGAGGCGGCGCGTCCACTCGGACGCCCAACAATACAATGTGATATTTCCGGTCCTGTGGGAAGGAAGCCCAACAATGGAAGCGACAACGGGGGTACGCTGTCGGAGTATTGGTATTGGGGATTAGCATAAATTAGGGGTTTTTATTTATTTTAAATAAAAGTGATAATGAGGTGGAAATGAGATGACAATTTAAATTTTTTTTAATTATTTTTAAATTGCCACGTCACACATTTAACGGTCAACTTTTAGAGTTGATCACAACGTAAGCAAAAGTTAAAGAGATTGGACGAAGAGTGATCAAACGTGAATAATTTCAGTAAATTGAAGTACTACCAATAAATTTAAATATTTCGAATTACCAAATTTATGAGAATTCTCAGTGACCATACAACCCTGGAATTGCGCCAACTAGACCAAAAAGGCCAGCCATTGCCGACTATTGTACCTGTTCGCTTTTTTTTTTCTTTCCCTTCCCCATTCTTAAATTCGTGCAGTTGTTGGAAAAAAGGGCAAAATAAACTATCTGAGGTCCTAAAGTCTCTAGTCTAGAAAACTACACCCAACCCAAAACAAACGTTGGTTGTTGGTTGGCACATTCTCGTTCGTGAGATTTTGAGGGGAGGGAAACGAAACAGTGCCTAATAGTAATACTCATACGGAAGAAATGCTGAGAAAGTGCAAGAAAAAGTGACGGAAAAAGGAAAGAAGCATTTAGCTAAAGCTAAGCTAAACCCACCAGCAAGGGCTCTCTCTGATTCGCTTGCCTTGCCTGCCATTACCATTTCTGCTGCTACTTTCTCCCCCGGATATCAACCAACGAGTTCTGAACTGTTATTCCTCTGAATTGGAGATGAACACCGAGTACCTTAGGGTTTCCTTTCGTCTGGACAATTGGACTTGATGATGATGGTGAAGCAGAAGACGACGATGAAGGAACTTGTGGGATTCAATAAATCTGGCTTCTTGCTACCTCGCGAACCCTAAATAACTGCATCAGAGCTGGACAGTTGGAGGCGCCCTTTTGACTTGCGCCAAAACCCTATACGCACTTGGCCTGAACGTTGGATTAAAGGTCAGATTTTCAACTGTTCATGGAACAATCCAGATATTTGGAGCCCGATCTACAACATTTGCTGGTTTAATTTCGATTGTTCATCTGCTGATCTGGACAAATTCACTGGGATCGTGGTGGCTGAACGTATTTTTAGCTTAAAGATAGCATTTTTATTTTTGTTTGCAGGGTTTGGGTCCTTTTGGAATCTGGGCGTGGGGATCACAATTCACAACTTGACTTGGTGGGGTTGGAAATATTGAAGGGTAGTTTGGCAGAGGGTCTGCCTAATTGAAAGTTGTGAACTTGCAACTCTGTCCCATAGCTTCATTTCCTGGTTGGTTTCTTAGCTGGATTAGATCAGAAAGAGGGGGGAAGATGCATGCTAGGCATAGAAATCCTGGAAATGGTTATAATAGGTCAGGTTCTATGGGAATGGGCTTTGGCGGTGGCTCAAGGATGTCCCCAGATGGTTCAGCTAGGGGTGGTGGTCATGGGTTCTATAACTCTGAGTACAGAACCTTCCGCAATCGAGGCTTTGTCCGTGGTGGTCATGGCCATGCTCCTGGGCACCAGCAAAGATCCTTTCAGCAACCACCTCATTTGCCGGCTCGCAAAGGCGATATCTTGATGGAGGCTGGTAGGCTTGCTGCTGAGTATCTAGTCTCCAAAGGCATGTTACCTCAGAATGCACTTGCTGGGAAGTGGCAGAATGGTAGCTTGAAGAAAGTGACTCGTGATTATCTACAGCAAGAGCCCCCACCAGTGCAAGAGGGCCGGGTATCCGTCCACTCAAGATTAGGTACTGGTTCTTCTGATGCAGGCTCAAGTGACAGAAGATATGCCGATGAGTTTGGTTCTAGGAATCAGTCTAAAGGGCGGAGAAGAGGTGATTATCCTCGGAGTTACAGTTCCGAGTGGGTGAGAGACTCTGGAAGGAGTAGTTCTGGGTCGGAAAGAAATCGGGAGTCACCTGAAGGGGAGGGTCAGTATGAAGTGCAACAAGGCAGTAAGGGTACGGATGATCGGCTGCGGGTATCAGATCGTAATAATGGATTAGGACCAGAAAAAGAGGAAGCAGCTGACGGCGACGAATCGGGATTCGAGAAATACAATTGCCCCCCTGATAATTCGGTTTCCAAGGCAAGCTCTCCTGGTGCTGAGAGAGAGGAGGTCGATACTGAAGTTTTGAAGGGGCCTAAAGATTCGGTGGACTTGACTCCGGGGAATGAAGAGATAGAGGATTTTAACAATGATGAAAGTGGCAAACAAACTGTTCCTGAGGATGACATCTCAAGCAAAAATGGATCTGATTTGTTAGCTTTCTGCAACCTTGTCAAGATACCGACAAAAATACGATCTGCATTGACCAGCAAGGTTTCCAAGGTTGATCATGTCTCTAGTGATGGAGCAAACTTATTGGTAACTGTACCGCCCAAAGGCTCAGATGTCTTAGATCAAGATGTTGCCTGTGATGATCCCCTTCCAACTATTGTTGAGGAAGTAAGCGAGATGAATGATCCAAAGCATTCCCATGCTGAATTATCTCAACAGTTGCCTCTTCAGTGTGACGAGGAGGATAACAAAGTAAGCCCAGCATATGGATCGGAGCATGGCAAGTGCATCAGGTCTCGGTCGTTCTCAGATGGAGTTTTTGATGTTGATAGCGAGTTTGAAACAAGCAATGAAGCAGTGAAATTTGGAAGGTCTAGCTCTGTTAAGGAAAGAGGCGAGAAGCGTCCTGCAGATGACAGTGATACGAGTCAGCAACAGAAAAAACCTAGAGAGAATCTTCTTCCTATCTTCATTCCTAATGTTGCCAATAAAGTGACAGAAAATCTCGTGACTCCAAAAGAGGAAGTGGTTTCACTTGCTCAGCAGCCGTTGATAACTGAAAGTAGTTTGGTTAATAGTCGTGAGTTCCCAGAGGATATTGATGACGAATATGATCAAGAGAAGCAGCAGTTTCCTGGTTCATTCAAGATATGCGATTTAAACCTGATGGAATCTTCCGATATCCATGACAATACGGGCAATGAGTCGGTTCTTATGTTCCCGCCTGTTGTGCTTTCCCAAAAAGCAACAGCAAGTGTTGATTTGTCGATGAGTAATGCAAAGATGCCTAATGAATATGTTAGGCATGTCAGTACCGGTAAGGAGATAGAAGTAATTGATCTGGAGAATGATGTTTCCCCTCCAGAAAACGAGGCTGTTGGAAGTTCACAGAATAAGTACGTGTCTCTGTTTTCTCTCTCGTATTGTTCTGTTGTTTTATCTGGATTTGGTTTTATTTCTGATTGTTTAGTATGCAAGTTCATTTGGACTTTTAGTTCATATTTTCAGGATGGAAGTTGAATTTGGTGGCACAGAGGGATTTTCTGGCAATGCACAAGCATCTGGCCATATAACTGACGTTCAAGATAATTATGATGGTCTTATAATCTCGGAGTTCCTTAGCACTTTCTCAAGCTGTACGTCCGTAACTGAAGGCATTAACCCACTGCAGAATGAAATGGGCCTTCACAATGCAGAGGTACGGAAAGTACTAGAAGCACTTGACTCGAAATAAATTTTCCTTTCAACATTATCACAACCGTGCTGGTTCATGTGAAAGCATAGGCAAACTGTTCAACTTGATGGGTCAAATAACTGCATATTCTCTTGTTTGTTTCAGGGAACTCTTGGATATGATGACTCGATTTATACGTCCCTTGAAGAAATACCATTAAGTATGTTTGATCTTTAAATTCAGTGCTTTGCTTCTTTTCATGTTTGTTTGCTTAAGGAGTCGGTGTCATAGCAAGACTTTTGCCCATGTTCAACCATGTTTGCTTAGAGAATCGAAAGGAGTTATTGGTCAGCTCTCCTCGGTGTATATGATTTTCTCAGGTAGATCAGTTAAAGGAAGTGTCTTTAGGTTTCCGCTCCCATGCATGACCAGTGACTTCCTTTATAGGTGATAGAGCTATTGAAGCAAGGTAGATGGATGATGTTGACGATTCCTAGTGTTGTTCTTTGGAATATTTTAGACTGTAGGATTCTCATGGTCCCTTGCTAAGAGCATACTCCTATCAAAATAGCATTTGTTTCGTTACCCTGCCATTCTCTTGTAGGTTGGTAACACTTGCAAAATTTTCCTGCAGGTTTTATACCAGACTGGGAGCAGCCAACACCACAGGGGTTTGAGAAGCCATTTTGATCCTCTTTCTCCCACAAAATGCAGCTTCGGTGTATGGCTTTGTACTATGGTCTGGTCATCGGATTCTTGCAACGACCAATCGTTCAACCAAACCCGAGATCCTTGTGTTGGCCTTTCCACAATTCAAGTGTCAGCATCATCATCTCAATCTGCAGTTGCTGCTGCGGCGGCATTGGTGAATGCTGTTTCATCTTGTTGTATGAATTTGTGTCTCACCTTCCTTCCTCCCTACCTTCAGCCGAGGAAAGGAAATGGATGTAAGTTTTCATTGTCGATTAATGTTGTACACGAGTCACGCTTGAGAATCAAGTTTGTTGTTATTGTTTCACGATTAGGCCGTCTGTCCGTTGTTGTGTAATATGTCGAAACAACAAGAAGCATGCTCAATGACGATGTTAGATTGCTGACCAACTATGCTAGGTCGTCCCTGCCCTTTTTCTCTGGGGTGAAGAGAGGAGTCCAATGAGATTATCATCATGGAAGTGGATTCCATAAGAATATGTTCATTGATCTCAAGAATGATATGTTATTTATCGGCATCACATGGTCCTACTTCCCAAGAATGATAGGTAATCGGAAGTGCATGTATTCTGAGAATCCATGGCTTCAAACCACCTCGTATTTGCATTGATGTAACGTTTACCTTCTTTTTGGGGTTTTAATCAAGAACTTCAATACAGTAGGAGCAAGCTATTTACTCTTGGGGACACCTGGAATCCAAAACCTCTGTTCATCAACTCTACTCAATCACACATGCCTTGGCCAACTCGTTCATCAGTCATCACATGATTGAATTCTTTAATTGTTGTGATGCTACACGACAAAACTCATTGGTGGCCCGGCCGGAAACAACAGATGTCCTCATGCTAGTAGTTAAGAATTGACTAATAAATTTATATAGAAAAAGAAATTGGAAAATAGTTTGTGTTTTTTCCCCCTTTCCAGAAAGACAGAGTGATTTATAGGAGGAGGGGAAGACGGAGGAGAGGAGAAGGAAGCGCGGATTTTCTAGCGGGATCGTCGCAACTGTTTCAGCTAGCTATCATCTACAAAAGCGCACTGCCCACCACGCTCCAATCCAATCCAATCCCTATATACAGATAAACACCAAAGAAGTAATCTTTGCATTCAGTCCCCTACTATTTCGCGCTCAATCGACAGTCCCCTGAAAATCTCACCGGAAACAGACTGTATTATAACACATAGATGGTGGTATGCCGGCGGGGATGGGAGCCGGTCAGGAAGCAGTGATTTTCAGTTACGGCGACGACGAGAAGCGAGTCGCATTCCTAGAAAAGCGAGACCAGAACTCCTCCTCGTCCTACTCCGGCGGCGGAGATGGAGCCGCGGCGGCGGCGTTGGTTGAGCGGAGCGGGACGGTGTGGACGGCGGTGGCGCACATAATCACGGGAGTGATCGGGTCGGGAGTGCTGTCGCTGCAGTGGAGCGTGGCCCAGCTGGGGTGGGCGGCGGGGCCGGCAGCCATGGTGATGTTCGCCGCCGTGACTCTGGTGTCGGCGTTCTTGCTCTGCGACTGCTACCGGTCGCCGCATCCGCTCCTCGGCCCTTCCCGGAACCGCTCTTATCTCCAGGCCGTTAACCTCACCCTAGGTAAGCAAACATCCACACCGTTAATCTTTCTTTCTTTCTTTCTGTCTGTAAATGTTCATTTGCATCATCTTTTCATAAAGTCTCTACCTTTAAGATGTTTTGGCTAGACTCTAATTGACAAGTTCATCATCTAAACATGTTCAACTAGATTTGTTGTTGATTAATGATCAAATTGATTGATGATGTTCAACTAGATTACATTTTATTGTATTGTATTGGATTGGATTGATATCAATCTATTTGTATCTATGATTAAATCAAGACCAACTTATCAGGATTAGTATACAAATTGAAAGACATGTGGGGTTTGTTTGTGTAGAGAGGATATTGGATAGGTTTTTGGATGTATTTGGTATGGTGGAAGCATTATCACCCACCAACTCTTATCAAGTCATGATGATGATAAAGCCATGGAAGGAAAGACATATTTCCTTTCATGGTTTAGGATTATAGCATTAATTTTCTATTGTTCATGGTTTGTTATTATTATGGCATACATATATGCTAAAATTATGATAGTTGCTGGGTGAGGGAAGAAAGAAAGGAAAAAGAAAATCTAAGTTAGGAAAGAATTACAAGGAAAGTGAAGTCCATTTATTTTGGATACCAAATCCTTACAAGTGTATGGAAATCAATGGACCGGAAAGACATCATTCTCAATTGGTTCACGCAAACTCCATTTCAGCTGCTTTTACAAAAGTCAGTCTATTATAATCATCTGCTCCAAGCAAGGAGAGCTAGCTAACAAGGCCCTTATGCTCAATGCTGAAGCTACTCTGTCCTTCCTTCCGAACCCAAAAATATCGTTAACAATTAATCTAATCTCCGGTACAACTTCACGATCGGGTCGTGGTTTTCTAACGTGTAAGTTTGTTTATGTAATGTAAGGGAGGACAAAGGCGTGGGCATGCGGGGTGCTAGTGCACACAAGCATGTACGGAATAGGGATTGCCTACACCATCACTGCCGCCATCAGCATGAGGTCGATTCAGCAATCAGCCTGCACCACTTACAACAACAACAACAACAAGAAAGAAGATGGGGCATGTGACATGAGCTGGCACATGCTGGTGTTTGGATTGGCTGAGATGTTCATGTCTCAGATCCCCAACTTCCACGACATTCAGTGGCTCTCCAATGTTGCTGCTCTAATGTCTCTGGCCTACTCCTTCATTGGTCTCGGCCTTGGCTTTGCTCGCGTCTTGGGTACGTACAACAAACATTTTTCTTTCTGATCATGTGCCCTAGCTATATATAACCACTTGGTAAGTAATGTAGTGATGAATGGGATGCAGAGAATGGGTATGTGAAGGGCAGCATGACAGGGATAAGAGGAGCAACTCCGGTTGACAAGATGTGGAAGGTGTCTCAAGCGCTTGGGGACATTGCATTTGCCTATCCCTACTCTCTAATCCTCATTGAAATCCAGGTAACCAATTGACCAAATGCTCGGGCTTAATCATGTGATTGACAATTAATTAAGTTGTGATGACTCAGGACACTTTGAAATCCCCGCCTTCAGAGAATGAGACGATGAAGAAGGCATCCACAGTGGCGATACTAGTGACCACAGTGTTCTACCTCTGCTGTGGAGGGTTCGGGTATGCAGCATTTGGGGAAGACACTCCAGGAAACCTCTTGACTGGTTTCACTCACCCACATTGGCTTCTCGACTTCGCCAACGCCTGCATTGTGCTCCACATCCTCGGCGGCTATCAGGTAAAACACTGAAAGAACACGAATCTAGCTGTGCGATTTAGGGTTTGCGATTGATAAGAGAATTAGGAATTTGGAGGGTTTGCGATTGATAAGAGAATTAGGGATTTGGATGAGAAAGAATTAGAAATTGAATGAGAGAGAAGCAGAGGTCGATTTCCAAGGGAGGGATGGCCAACGGCTAGGGATGAAGAGAAGAGGATTCGGCTAGGTGAGAGTGAGAAGTAGTTGTATAGAATAATTCTTATGTTATTGTTTAACCTCCAATTCTCTCCTAACACAGAATATATAGTACGACTAATTCCCTATACCTACCCAGATAATTAACCTGACCGAATAAACCTCAATAGTTCCCAAAATATCCAAATAATAATTAACGACAAACAAACCTAAAAATAATGAGTTTCTGACATTCCATCCCCCTTGAGACCAACCATGCCCTCAAGGTTGGCCTTCTTTTCTCTCTTCCTTCTTCGCCTCGGTCCCGTCCGTCTCCATTTCCTCGCTCTCGTCTTCCCAGTTTTCGATCAACAGCATCAGGTGCCCTTTCGCGCGCTGGTGTCTCAATGTATAACTTTCGTCACCATTGAAGCAACGACCGTCCCTACGCTTCTAGTCCATCTCTGCCTGAGTCAATCTAACGAACCCCTTCGGCGGTAGCCTAGCTGGAATCCTACCTCCTGGATTGACACCAGTGGCCACCGGGTTTGCAACTCCCGGTGGCCACGAAGATGATGCGGCGTCTTGGCCTGCGCCGACGCTTGTTCCACCACTCGCCTTATGGAACCTCCCCGCCGAAGACCTCCAGCTGGCTAGCTACTCCTCCTTGCGACCTGCAAGTCTGAAAGCAACTTGAAGAGAATCAGGTTCAAAGACCTTAACTGCTGCCGCCAATTCGGGTCGTTGTCCTGCCATGCACAACCCCAGCAACGTCTCTTTTGTCATCTCATTGCACCGGTTCCCAAACTTAATGAACTCCACACGATACTCTTCCACTGAGCCGATTTGCTTCAGTTTGGCCAACTACTATGATGCTCACCCTTCAGGTCTAACAAACTGGTACCGCAGCTCATCCTGGAACCTGACAAATAAAATAGTCTCCCCTGCCGCTGCATAGGCCCTCTCGGTCCATTCCCACCACTTGAGGGCATCCCCTTAAGTAGGTCGCCATATGTGTCTTCCTTTCCTCTCTCATCGGGTGATTCTTGAATCACCTCTCCGTCGCATACAGCCACAGTGCGTCACCATGACCATTAAATTTAGAGAACTCTAATAACCGAAGGTTTGGCTCTAAACACCAATTCATCATCATAATCATACAAGGGGGTTATGGTTCCATACCTCCCTGAGTCCGGGGAAGGTTGCCGGTGCCCAGGTCAGCTGTGATGGTAGCCAGGCGCGGCCCACTGCTATTGAGAATATGGCCAATTGCCCAAGTTCCTCTGGTAGTGCTCGTTGTTACCGAGTTTAGTCTCGGACACTTGTCCCACTTTCGAGCCTTGGTGGCCTCTTCCACTGTTCGCCCGAGGAGTTCCCCACGGGGGTACCTAGACTCTGGCCCTCGCTGGAGGGTCTCAGCACCTCCATAAGTCGTGCCCTAGTTGTTGGCAGGCGGTTGCTGACATGAACCAGTTCAGTTTGGACTGGTTTGACCGATTTTGGTTGGACCGATCATTGGTCCAGTACGACCCGAATTCAGGTCCACAATCCACCCTCGTCCAGCTCCTGCGGGCTCGGGGTCCACCCACCATCCCTCATGGCTTGCGAAACTCAACTCATCTCCTTCCTTTCCTGAGCCTGTTCCGTTGAAGTTTGGCCCATTATGTATTCACATCCACTCTTCTTGTGGCCAGTCAGCCATGGCTCCCCGACGTACGTGGCCAACTTCTTCTTCCAGCACGCCCCGTAGACCTCCTGGGCTATTGGGGGCCGCAACAATCTCGACCCGCTAAACACCGGCCCTGGCACGACCGCCGCGCCCTAGCTACCTTCCTCGGCATTGTGGACCGTCGAGCATATGCTTTAGGTCACACTCTTGTTCATCTCCTCGATCGAGGTTCTAATCTAGCCGCCCATGACTTCAATGACGCCGATCGAGCTCTTCGATGCTACGGCCGCCCTCTCACAGTGACCCTAGTCAGGCTTTCCATTGATGCGGCGATCACATTGTACTTGTTTGTAGTCACATCCATAACCGCCACGATCTCCTTGGCCGATCTCTGTTGTTGCGGTTTGTGCGTTGGATTTGTTATCTTCAGGAAATCAACACACCAGCAGAACTCTGATACCTTTGAAAGAACACAAATTTAGGTGTGCAATTTAGAGTTTGCGATTGATAAGAGAATTAGATATTTGGATGAGGAAGAATTGGGAATTGGGTAAGAAAGAAGCCAAGGTCGGTTCTCGGGGGAGGGATGGCCGACGGCTAGAGATGAGGAGAAGAGTGTTCGGCTAGGTGTGAGAGAGAAGTAGTTTTAGAGAATATATAGTACGACTAATTCCCTATACCTACCCAGATAATTAACCTGACCGAATACAACCCATCAAAATAGCCCTATATCTACCCAGATAATTAACTTGACCAAATACAGCCCATCAAAATAGCCCGAACAATAATTAAGGACAAATAAACTGATAGAGCTCCGGGTTAAGCTCTATCAAGAGATTGGGGATTAGGGATCAACTAGGGATTGATCTGGGAATTATATGGGGATTGGAGAAAGGTGATTTGAGAGGAATTGGAACAAGGAGAAGGGAGGGGAAAGAGGCTGCCGATCGGCAGCTTGGTAGGGAGAGGGAAGAGGCTCGGCGGCCAAGAGAGAGAGAGAGAGAGAGAGAGAGAGAGAGAGATTAGTTTTTAGGTTTAATCTTTGCTTGCCTTTACCTACGTAAAACAATAGTTTAAATACCCAAAACACAATTACCTACTAACTACCCCAACTTATTAATCCCCCAATTATTTCCCAATAACCAAAATAAACCCGAACTGAATAATTCAAACCGACATAAACCCCAAATAATTAAAACGTCTATCATTCCCGCTCTCTTCAAAACAACCTTGTCCTCAAGGTTGATAGCCTTCCCCTGCTTCTTCCCCTTCTCTCGCCTCATCCTCTGCCTCGTCCTCCCACCTTCCGACTAGCATCATCAAGTCCGGACGTGCACACTTATGACCGATCGTGAACCTCTCGTCGCAATTAAAGCACTTCCCTTCCCGCCTCTTCTGCTCGATCTCCGCAGGGGATAGTCGCACAAATCCCTTGGGTGGCGGTCGCGCCCCACCCTTCGCCGCCGCTTCTGGCGCCTGCGCCGTCATGGATCCCCCCCAGCTCCAGCAGTGGCTCCAGCCACTCCTCCTCCTCCACTGCTGACCCCGCTACTGCTCCCGGCGCCACTAGCCCGCGGATAGCGGCCTATGGTGCTCCTCCAATTCGCAAGCTCCTCTTCCTTGTACCCTGCAAGACGAAAAGAAGATTTCAAGGAATCCGGCTCAAAGACCCGGACAACAGCAACAATCTCCGGCTTCAGGCCTGCCATACATAGCCCCACCAATGTCTCCTCTAGGACCCCATGGCATTGATTGCCCAGTTTGAAGAACTCTGCACGGTAATCCGCAACTGAGCCGGTCTGCTTCAGTTTGGCCAACTGCTCCGGGGCCCACCCCTCCGATTTACCGAACTGGTAACGCAGCTCCTCATGGAACATCGCCCAGGTGATTAAGGTCCCCACCGCCCCGTAGGATCTCTCCATCCACTCCCACCACTGCAGAGCTTCTCCTTCTAAGTAGAAGGACGCCAGATGCGCCTTCCTCTCCTCCGGTATGGGGTGATTGCTGAACCACCTCTCTGCTGCATACAACCACAACCCGGCATCCTCCTGACCGTTGAATTTTGGAAACTCAATGGTCGGGGGCTTGGCTCTAAAGACCATCCCATCAGTTCCATCATAGGCAGGGTGATATGAACCATACCTGTCATATCCCGAATCACCACCCGGCTGGTTCTGGTAGAGTGGTGATCCTCTTCCCCGCCCAAAACTGCCCCCGACACCTCTCCCAACCGGACCTGTCACCTTCCCTGCTCCATACGACCCCTGCCACATGTTCGGGTCCATGCTGGCCGATCTAACCAGCCCCGACTCGAACCGGTTTGGTCCACTTCTGGTTTGGCCGGGTTCGATTCGCCCTGGTTCACCCCGACCTGCCCCGATCCAGTCTGGGTCGGTCAGCCCATGATCGACCCGACGGGTCGACCCTCCACCTCGCCCCAGTTCGAGTCCACCCGGCCCAAACCGCTCCTCCTGCCCCGGCCCAACTCGCGCGGCACGGCCCCCTATCGGGTCCGGGCCCAAGTAATCTTCGGCACTAGCCGGGTCGGCCCACGGTGCATTCTGGCCCACCAAGCTGAGTTCCTCCTCGATCCGCTCTGGATCCATGTTCAGACACCCCAGCCCTCTGGGCTCGTGATATGGGCCCACTGTATCAGTCCGGCCCATGGGCCTAGGTGGCCCCTGCCCAGTCGGCTGGGCCCCGTTGTCGTACCCTAGCATCTTGGCCTAGCCCTTGCGAGCCGCCAACTCCTGGGCCGTCGGTGTCGGTAGAAGCCCAGGCCCACCGCCGCGCCCTAACTGACCGTGGCCCGCTCGCTCGATCGCACCGGCCAGGTTGTCCCCGCCTCCCGCGGCCACCACCCCAGCCGCCTCCATCTCCCCGGCCGCCGCCGGCGACGCGTCCGCCACCATCACTGCTGCCCCCTTCACCGCCGCCGCCGCTGCTCTTCGGCGCGGCTGTTTGCGCGACGTGCAGCGCCTCCAAGGCCACTTGTACCTCATCAAACCGCTTCCAAACCCTCCGAGACTCCTCCTCCTGCTCACGCCTGACAGCCCGCCTCTCCACGCGCTCAGTTTCGAACGCAGCCACCAGGCGATCCAAGGTGACTTGGATCGCCTCCAGCTTCTCCGTCTCGTCTTCCAGCTCCCCGTCCTGCGGATTGGAGACCCCATGACCGCCCTCGCCAGCCTCCGGCAGCCCCGTCGTGGCCGCGATCGCGGCTTGCTCCTGCGCCGCCGCCTTGGCGGCCTTCTCCGCGGCTTGCATCGATTTTGTTGACACCATTGCAGTCGTCGTTCTTCGTTTGTTCAGGAACCCAAGAACCGGGCTCTGATACCAATTGATAGAGCTCCGGGTTAAGCTCTATCAAGAGATTGGGGATTAGGGATCAACTAGGGATTGATCCGGGACTTATGAGGATTGGGGAAAGGTGATTTGAGAGGAATTGGAACAAGGAGAAGGGAGGGGAAAGAGGCTGCCGATCGGCAGCTTGGTAGGGAGAGGGAAGAGGCTCGGCGGCCAAGAGAGAGAGAAATTAGTTTTTAGGTTTAATCTTTACTTGCCTTTACCTACGTAAAACAATAGTTTAAATACCCAAAACACAATTACCTACTAACTACCCCAACTTATTAATCCACCAATTATTTCCCAATAACCAAAATAAACTCGAACTGAATAATTCAAACCGACATAAACCCCAAATAATTAAAACGTCTATCATAAACCCTCAAAATAACAAACACTCAGTTTGTGAGTGGACGGTAATATGATGAATGAGGCACTCATTAATGTGATGTCAATGTATAAACAACACATGCACAGGTCTACTGCCAGCCGGTGTTCGCAACTGCAGAGAAGTGGTTGGTGGAGACTTTCCCGGACAGCATCCTCGTCCGGCACAGCAGCGTGAAATTGCCAGTTCCCGCGGCAGGCCGGAACGTGGAAGTGAAGGTGCTGCGGCTGTGCTTCCGGACGCTGTACGTGGCGTCGACGACGGCGATCGCGATGATGTTCCCCTACTTCAACCAGGTGATCGGGGTGCTGGGAGGGTTCATGTACTGGCCGGTGAGCATCTATTTCCCGGTGGAGATGTACGTGAAGCAGAGGGAGGTGGAGGCCTGGACGGTCAAGTGGGTGCTGTTGCATTTGTTCAGCGTCTTCTGCCTCTTGCTCATTTGCTTCGCTCTCGTTGGTTCGGTTCAAGGCCTCCTCACCGCACACTTGGGGTGATTAGTTGATCTGCATGCACGTCACGTACTCGAGTTGTTTAGTTTAGTTTGTGTGGGAGTTAGTATGATGAGTTATGTATTGTCTTAGTCTTGTCTTGTTGATTGACAAGTGTTGTTACTTGTACAGCAACATTTCAATCTATCATGGTCATTTCCCCTTAAAAAGAGTTGGGTTATAGAGGGTAATGTACTATTAGTTAGCATGGTAAAAGTAATGGGATTAATTAAACTCATGAGGTTGAACCTTAAAGGATTACATTTGATTTACGCTAGCCTAGCCTACTACTCTCCAAATCACTTATCAAAATGCACCTATCGAATGTTTATAAGCTCAAAGTTATGGATGGTTGGAAATTTGGATGTAAAGATTCCAAATTCGGAATACCCAAGTGACAAGAACAATGAGCACAACAATTACTCCCTCTAGTCTATAGGAAGTTTAAGTTAGGAGAGAATACCAGTGTGTACAACTACAAAGGCAATTAATAAAGCACGTGCATGACCATAAAATCGAAGACCATCCCTCCTACCTCCCATCCCCTGTTCCACAACGGCCATTGTTTCTTTCTAGAGAGAGAAGAGAGGGGAGATGGAGGTTTGTGTGCATATGCACTCGTGCACCAACAAACCAACAGTAAAATCTCCCCCATGCCATGCACACGACCTCCTCAATCCATCCATCCATCCCTCTTTCTTTCTTTCTCTCTCACTCACACGCACGACCTTTAGTCAACAAAAAGAAGCCATCCAAGTAGCAGCATGCATGTTCTAGAGAGAGAAACACGAGGAGGGAGAGGGAGTCCTTGACTGACCGGGCGTCTTGGGGGTGAGCTACCTGCCTTCTCCAAGTAGAGCCTCTCTCTCTCTCTCTCTTATTCACACGCCCAACAAGCCTTTGAATTCTTTATTCCCATTCATGCAATGCATACCCCTTCCTCTCTCATACCTCTCTCTCTCTCTCTCTCTCTCTCTCTCATCCTTTACCTATGAAGATGATGAAGAAGAAGAAGAAAACCGCAGCAAATATTAGCATGTTGCTTTTGTATATAAGAATTATTCACCCTCCTCATTTCTTTTCTCACCTAAAGAGTTATTAGAGAATTAATACTCCTCCCTCTCCCTCTCTCACCCTCCTTACTTCAAATCAATTTCCCCCCTCTTTACTTTTTTAGGTTTCTTATTCACTACTAAACCGTAAGAAACAGAGGTAAACAAGCAAAAAGAAAATAGAGTGTGCATATAAAAAGATGGGTAGGATACCTTGTTGTGAGAAGGACAACGTCAAGAGAGGCCAATGGACTCCCGAGGAAGACAACAAACTCTCTTCCTACATCGCCCAACATGGTACCCGCAACTGGCGCCTCATCCCCAAAAACGCCGGTCTTTCCCTTACCCTTCTACCTTCCTTTCACATTGACTAATGCAATCTTCTCTCTTTTCCTTCTGATCGATCCTTGTTCCTGCCATTGTCAGGCCTGCAAAGATGCGGCAAGAGCTGCAGGCTGCGCTGGACCAACTACCTCCGCCCTGACCTGATGCGTGGCAAGTTCACCGATGCAGAGGAGCACACCATCGTCAAGCTCCACTCCGTCGTTGGCAACAGGTAATTAAGCACCACCACCACGGCATTTCCCTAGTTGTTTTTGCTGTACTAACTACTCTCTTCTTGTTGCCGGCTGGCAGATGGTCGTTGATTGCAGCTCAACTTCCAGGGAGAACCGACAACGACGTGAAGAACCACTGGAACACCAAGCTGAAGAAGAAGCTGTCCGGGATGGGGATCGACCCAGTCACCCACAAGCCATTCTCTCATCTTATGGCTGAGATAGCCACCACCCTCGCCCCACCCCAGGTGGCTCACCTCGCAGAGGCCGCGCTCGGCTGCTTCAAAGATGAGATGCTCCACCTGCTCACCAAGAAAAGGATCGACTTCCAGCTCCACCAAGCAGGGAACAACCACCACCACAACCAACAGTCTTCTGCTGGAATGCCAGCTTTCGTCGCTGCAAAACACGAGGAGAATGACGAGGACACGATTGAGAAGATCAAGATGGGCTTATCGAGGGCAATGCAAGAGACTGGCAACACTAACATTAACAATAACTGGGAGTCCAACAATAACGACCAGTTACCTGCATCATCGTCGGCACACTTCGGGATCAGTAGCATGTTCCAGTGCGGTGGTGAGCCACCGTCGTTTGATGGGGACGCATGGAGCCAGAGCATGTGCACAGGGAGCACTTGTACCGCCGCAGGTGGAGAGAATCGGAGAGGGCGGATGGATGAGGAGAAGCTTGACGAGGACGATGATGACGACGACAATGTGCTGTGGGATTTGCCGTCGGACGAGCTGATGAATCCTATGGTTTAGAAAAACCAAAGCAAAGACAGAAAGAGAAGCTCTGGCCGTGAGTCTAGTTCACAAAAGTCCCAGAAATGGCGACAAAGAGTTAGGGAAAGGATCATCAACTAGTTCAAACTAAATAGATAAAGAAACAAAAAAGAAACCAATAAACTCCAATATTATCGCTATCATAACCTGAATAAGTGTATAACAAATGTAAATACAAACACAAATCCGATACAATATCATGCATTACATCCTCGATCTAGAGAAACATTATTTTCTGCCTATTCCCCTATCACTTTTTACTAATTCAGTATTTTGGATGTTTCGAGATGCGGTTCAATTGGTGATTGTTTCAGGCGAAATACGACGATGAAGATGATGTATCAGCAAGAACCTGCGATGGATTGATGAAAAGTATAGCCTCAGTACATAGATCAGAAAAGAATTTTGGACAGCAAGTTCCACGCTAATATATCAGTAGACTAACAATTGGTATGACCGAATCTATTACCTCGAGCTGCTCTTCGGTGAATGAATCCTTCTGAAAGTTCCAAGTATCAGCGTGAGTCCTCCGAAACTCAGCAACTGCTTTCGTTACTGTGGATTTTATGGGGGAAGGCTCTGCTGCAAAACGTGCCAGGAGAGTGACATGCTCTGGCAACCAACTGAAACAAGAAATGATTGATTATATACTAAACAATTTAAGGAAAATAAACAGCTGATCTACTAAATAACAAGAACTACAGCCCTACGACTTAACAAAGAGGATAGCCAATTGGATTAAGATCCAATGATAGGAGAGAGTGGACGTTCATCCAGTCAAGTTTGCAGCTCAACAATCCCTGCACTCGGCATTGCAAGGTGACAACCAAAGCTCATAAAGCTGTGACCACTTGCCGAAAGTTTTACTTATTAAGAAGACGAACCACCTTAATAAGCAACAGAATAAGAATTAATGAAAGAACTCAGTTGGTGAAGTAGGAGCCTTCATTCTATTCATGAGCTCTTTGCAGAATCCTTAGAATTGGCTGTTCACAAAAATAAGGTACTCTTGCACATGCATACATAGACTGTAGAAGGAAAACAATGCAACTCCATGAAAAGATAGCAGGATGTTAATCCGATATCTGTACCTGGGCATATCATATGGCACCGATAATACAGAAGCCGTCAGTGCAAGTACAGCACCATGGATGGATGATATAGATTGGCCCCTTCTTAGATTCCTGTCATCATCAAAACGAGACCAAAATTCACATACAAAAAGGCCTTTCCTCAGAAACTAAATTCAATGTGCATGAAATCATGGCAACGAAGCTAACCTCTGCTGCTTTCTCGTCTGTTGCATGGCACTTGCATCCGCTAAAGCTCTCTCACGGAAATCACAAGCAAGGTCCTCATCCCCACCTTTCATTAGACCTGCAAGAACTGCTGCAGCATGCTCTCTTACCTGGAAAAAATGCATTTTTTTGTTAAAACGAAGATAGAGTTAAAAGGTAAATCCTTCATCCAATTCACGTGCCTAGCCTCAAAGCTATGGATGCCTTGTGATAGAAGACTACCCTACAGGATCTTGTTACCTGACATTCACCATCTCTATCCAAATAATTAGAAGAAAAGAATGTGTAATCTCATCCTCGTCTCACATTTATAAGAAAAGAAAATTGTGATCTGAGATTTAGACTTACAAATCTAAATTAACATTTGGTTCAATATTCCATCAGAAATTACCTCGACTTGATTGTCTCTCAGCAGATTCTCCACAGTTCTCCAAATTTTTTGTTTCTCTGCTTTAGAGAGTATGTAAGTATGCCTGGAAATAAGAAAATGGTACATATCAGAATTTAGGCTATATCCAATATGCTAGTGAAAGACCTTATCCAACAAACTGACAAATCTCTAATGCCAATCTGGCAGACGAATGAGTGAACTAGAGTACCAAACAGAAGGAATCTTAAAAATAAACCTGACCTCCAGAAAACCACTTAGTAAAAGGACATGAAATTAAAATCCAGAAAAGGAGACACCTTTCGTATGGAAAAGACATTTGAAACAGCTGAAAATTTGCCTACAAGTAGAATATTGAAAGCCCAACAACAACAGAGTACACACCTATACATAAAAGTACGTAGATACGTCAGAGTAGTTGATCTGGTCCGCCAGTTGGAATCAGTAGAAGAAGAAAGAATGACTTCAACAACCCTCTGAAGATGAGGTTCCCAAAACACCCTCCATTTTAGCAACTCAAAAGCAGCCTTCACCAGAGTTGATAAATCCTTATTTGATGTTTCCTGAAATTGGCCCACAGGCAAAACTCAACAATATATAATATAACACGAACTTGAGAATAAACCAAGGAAAGTACTTCACATACCTGCAAGGCAATTACAGGATAGATAAATCTGACAATGACATCAACCAAACAAGATGATCTCCCGGACTTCAAAGTTGAGACGATAAAATGAAAGAGCTGAAGAAACATAAAGAAATTCCGTTAGTCAGAATTGTATGAACGACCAGCTTCTATATCCCAATTTGAATAGTTAGAGAGTAAGTCTCAAATCTCATTTGTACCGTTTCCATCCACTTCACGTCGTCTTGTATATCTCCATTTAATGTGTCATTTTCAGCACTACAATGAGCAGCTGTCTCCATGTTGTCTGTCTGACTAGTATTCTGAATACTTGTGACCATCTCAGATGCTCGTTCTGTAAGAAATGCAACCCAAGTCTCTGTTTTATTTGGGTTGTCACTGCCGTGGTCAGCCTCTTCATGGGAGAACGACGAATGGAGGCGGATATTTGAGCACAATATAGAGAGGTTGATTCCTATAGCTTCCCTTACCTGTTCCATGCAAGTTAATTATTAGAGAATGACCAGGAAAAGGAAAAGCTACTTTAACTAAGCAAAACAAGTTACACATAGAGCGCAAAGGTTGGGGAAGGAAAGACTGGTTTCCTTTAGGATTATAAAAGTATATAGTAGCAAAGCACAACCACCTCTCTTCATGATTCTTTCTTGTTACCCACTCCATTTTGTACATTTCAAATAAACAACGAATTCGGTTTCTTATAAGAATCTCAGGTACAATCAAATATTTGTATACAGGGAAAAGAAACACATAGGCAATGGACAATTCATTCATAAGAATAAAAAGCATTAAACCATATGAGTGTGATATTCAAGGCAACCAGAAGTAAGACAAAAGAATATCTATACTTACTTGGGCTGATGAATGGCACATATCCGCCAACAATTCATTCAAAAGTTTATTGTGAATCTCCAGTTCAGTCACAGGCATCTTTTGAGGGCATATCTCTATGAGTGCAGCAGAAAGAAAAGTGTAACGCTTTGCAACTACAGTAGTTGTTGCAGTTGGAAGGAGGGGTGTTATCAAACAATCCAAAATTTGCTGTCTCAGAAGGGGAACATTTGTACCATACTTTCCTTTTCCAGTAACAGCATACCGTATGCAGGCTGACCACTCTGGTATCGACTCCACCGATTGACCAAGAATAATACTCTGTAACTGACCCATCATCCAGCTGTCCCACGCTCCTAATACACCATCAACATCAGAGTGCAACACACCTGCAAATGCTTCTGCTGCAACACACTGCTTAGACCTTTCCTTAGAATTTGCAAAATCTTCTAATGGGCTTTTTAGAGCCAACAAAATGGGCATGCCACATTCTTGCACCAGCCGCTTGAAAATTCTTGCAAAGCTAGAGTAAAAACTATCAACCCCAACTAGAGAGATCCAGCTAGGTGTGCGAGGCCAAGAGGATGAAAAATCAAAATAGAAGCGGGTGATTGATTTATCTGCCAGGCTTTGAAAAGAAGAGTTCCCATGATTTCCTCTGGAAGAACCATCACTGTCGGTGATAATATGCACATGAGATAGACTATTCAATGTCTCGTGAAAGAATCCCTCCTCCTGAAAAATTTCACTTAATGCTCCTTCAAGGGAAGATTTGACATTGGTGTGTAAATCCTCCGGTCGACCACCTTGATTTGCAGCTGAAAGCTTATATGGCGATTCGTTCAAGAGTGTGTTCAGTGCTGAGATTGAAAGCATCCTGGTCTGTGGAAGTTGACTCTTTAAACTTTTCAGGAAGTGACCTACAAAAGTATAATATAGTTGAACTTTAGAAGATCACACTGATAAAACTTTAGTCACTCACTCAAACCCCATCAAATCACAATAAGCAAATAAAAACCTACCAGTAGTTTCACTCAAGATTTTCGAGAAGGTTGGGTCATTTCTAGAAGCCATAGCCAACAGCAAAAGAATTCTATTGGCCATCAAATTATACCTGGAAACGTATTGGCAAAAGGAAGAAGTAAGTGTTCAAAAATCAGGAAAACCAACTTTCAGACAGAGACAGAAGGTAGCAAAGACTCTCCTTTGTTTTCACTGCACATGATTGCTAGATTGACTTATTATTGACTATAATATTGAAAAATACAGAAAGTAGCTAACATAGCATAAAATTATTTATATCAATGTTCTGGTTCAGCACTCCACATTTTGTCTTATAAATAATGGTGGTCATTCTTGATGCAGTTATTAATCCCATCTACCGACTCTACATGAGACCAAGAACCGATTTTCAATTTTGCTCCAATCATTGACTTTCTTGAAGAAGTTTGAAGCTGACTTTCAATTATTATAAGAATCAAATGGACCATTTCCTTAGAGTGACTCTGACACTGGAAGGACCTTTAGTCTTCAATATGGTTTAGTCAAACTATTCTAACAAGAAGCACATCTATGATAAGACATCTACCTCCAGTGCAAGCCAGAAGATTCAAAACTCATCGATCCAATCTGAGAAACCAAATCTGAAAAATCTGAACCACCCACTTCACTGCCTGATGGTATGAAAATGCTCCTGGATAGTCCCGAGAAGTAGATGTTGTACTTGACAAAAAGCTGTTGTAAATAAATAAATAAATAAACATCAAGAGAATGAATAGACAAGACATTCATTCACCTATTTAGAGCAATGTGAATATACCTCATTGATTGCCTTCTGGGTTTTCAGGGACTCATGATGAGAGCTGGAAAATCAAAAGGTTTAAGTGAAAGAGCTGACAACAAAGAGGATACTAGCAATTTATCCAATCCAATTATGTATGTTACTC